CCACGTGGAGCAAAATGTTTTATATCTAAGATCAAAAATGGTAAACTCAAATCGACCATGACAACCAAATTATCATATGGACAGTGACAGGTATAAACGTGAAAGACTCACTCGTTGGCGAGAAAAATCAAGACGTTGAGTTAAAACTAAAAACACTCGTCGAAGCATAGGGGCAGATTGCATATGTATATGTGAGATAGACAGATGTACGAAAATAATTCCTGTAGTTTTACCGTGTCCCGCCAAAAATCATGAAAAGATCTATAGGGTGGGCTATCACTTGTTTTTTTTAAGTTGGTATTATTTTGACGGTTGGTAACACTTTCATGCTCAACATATTGACAGATATATTGTGTCAAACTTCAATTTTCGTCGTCAAATCATCTTTTCGGACGAACCCCATTTCCACGGTAACAAGCAGAACTTTAGTATTTGGGGTTCTGAAAATCCACATGTCATAAAAAACCAATGCATCCAAAAAGAGTGACTATTTGGTGTTGCTTTTGGAGTGGTCGGATTATTGGTCCCTACTTTTTTCAAGATGAAGATGGTAACAGCGTGACGGTAAACGGGGAGTGCTATAGAGATATGTTGAGGAGTTTTTTGTGGCCACTATTAGACGACATGCACTTGCACAATCTCTGGTTCCAGCAGGATGGCGCAACATTCCACACCAGCCGTGAAACAATTGATCTTTTGCACAGTTCGGTCATCGGGTTATCAGCCGTTTTGGAGACGTTCATTGGCATATGTGATTTGATGCCCATAGATTACTTCCTATCGGGTACTGTCAAGGACCGCTGTTACACTAACGATAATGAAACAGTTGATGTTCCTAAGGAAAATATCCGTCGAGCTGTTGATGAAATAGACCCACAAACTATCGAAAATGTGCTTCAAAATTGGGTTAAGAGGATGGAGTACTGCCAGGCCAGCCGTGGCAGGCATTTAACTGAAATTGTTTTTCATAAATAATCGGAAGGTGTATTCTTTTGAATAAAGTATCGAGTATTACATATTATTGAAGAGTGTAGTTTTAATACCAATTTAAAAACGAAACCAACGGATGGCCCTCCCTTTATAACAACTTCTAGATTTTTGGACGTACTTATTTGAATGCCTAAATCTTCATGAATATCGAATTTGCACTGATTAATATGTGAAGAACTCTGAATCCCAGACTAGAATATTACAACTTCTTGAACGATTTTGTGATGACATGTAATTTATCCGTAATTTGGAAGACCCAGACATTATCGAAGATGATCGGCGTTCCGTAAATAAACCGCGCGCACAAATTGCGAATTTATTTTACGAGCAAATTTTATAACTCACACACCGGTTATTTTCCCCTGTTCTAGATATAGCCCGCCAAATCACGGTCGCTTACAACCCCCCAACTAAAAATCGATATGCCTTGCGTGATAAAACCTTGTTTGGGTTTGTAAATCCTCAATATGGCTTTACAAAGAACACACAATTACTGACCACATCACACTATCCGAGATCATTTCAAGACGATTGTTCGTTGACAGCATGTGATTTATATTTCTAGGTATTCATTCCTGGATCGAATGAGCTAGAAAAAGTGCAACAATTCCTATGAAACACCTGCTCAATACTCGGGATCTCCCTGAACTACCCCTTAAAAGAAGTGTCACCAAAGATCGCAAACGCCTCCGCTGAATCACATCAAATAACGACATCATACTACATATTACCTTAACAAGTTAAAATAATACACCAGTGGGCGAGGCAACATTGTAATCGCGAAACAATTCGAAAATGAGATATTATGTCTTTTTGATGTTATATTCAGACTAAAATAACCAAAAGTTCGCCAATTTTGGCCTAACAGACAGGGTTGTTTCGTTTTAAACATTTTGTTTTAATCAATTGTTTTAAACAGTTTAAAACATTTAAATTAAACAAGCGTTTTTTCTTCTTTTTCTTTATTAATATAATAAATAAAAATAGGAAATGTTCTCAAATACATTATACAAACTTTTTAACATAAATATTATTTATTTATTAATAATAGGAACACAGCAAAAATTGGAAAACTTGAACATTTTGCATACAAGCATTAACAAATTCCTCACATTCTTTCAGTCTCAGCCACGATGGAATTAAGCTCTTTAAAAATTGATACCAACTTAGCAGCTTTGACATTGCTTAGCCGATTACGTAGTTTTGAATGGACTAAACCCTATGATGAGAAGAGTCTTTCTATGTTGGCTGCTGACGATGCAATACCTGTATGAAGCTGTTGAGCAATTTCCCATTCTGTGGTATTTATATTTTTCATAGAACGCCACTATGCGAATGGTTTTACATTCTCAAATAGATGTTTAGAAAACATATTATATGGTTTAAAGGGTACACACTTTGCCTGGTAACTAATAATAATTGGCAATGCTTCTGGATGATGGTTTCTACATATTCCATGCCTGTTTCTATCTGCTCTTGACTAAGTTTATTGCCTCTAAGGCGATGATCACGCAAATTTGCCAAAAAAATGAGCTGGGGTCAAAGCCATTCTCATACGCTCCTCGACTTTATTCGTATCACTTACCGAAAATTCTCCATTTGCTTGTTCAGTCTCGAATGCTTCTAAAAATTCTAGCCATATCTCTGTAGCCTCTCCTATAGTGCAAGTGTTTCTTTGGACTTTGTTCAAAGCAAATGCGACATACTTTAATTTTTTTAAATAGTCTTGGGCATTTGTCTTTAAATTGGTAAAAATTTAAAATTCAAAGTTACCTGTATTATTATCTGGGTAAGCATTCTTTGAATATTTTTGAGTTTTGGATATCTCATCTAGCGTTAAATCCTCATCTGACTCAGAATCATAGATAATTGACATTGGTAGCTGAGAATTTTCAGATGGAACACATTTTTGAATATGTTTCTTCATACGCAGCCATAATTACTTTACATTTTCTACATTTAACAGTCGCTGATTTTTTGTTATTATCTTTAACATCAAAATAGGACCAAATGGCATCTTTCTTCCTTCTTGTAGACGACATTTTTCAAAAAAAGAACACCACAAAATAACTTACAGTAGACGTTATTGCAATAGCCAACTTGCAAGTCGAATTTATAAATAGTAGTCTGAGGTTCCCCCAGGCCAATAGTTCCTCATTGCAATTGGTTTTCTTATTTCGGGGATTCACCGGCACAGCCTAACGGCGGCGTGGCGCGACGTAATTCGTAAGAGCTGATCGCCACAGTTTAGTCGGACTTTAAATAAGGTATCTATTATTTAGTAGAATAATAGATCGAACATTTTCAAGTAATATTATGGAAAATATACTAAGTGACATATAAATCCGAACACCCAGTTTAAATGGTTTTATTTTAATAAAATTTGGTGAATGTATTTATCTTACTGTAAATAACAAGTGAAAAAATTTTCAGCCTTATCAGTTGGACATTCCGGTTTTTATACTGCTTTTTTTTAATTCACTAACGCTCTAAAAATGAATATTTCAGCCGCAGTAAAGAATCAGCGTTGGCGGATTTTGGTTCTTGACATCCTTTACGATCGGTTACGATGCCTAGAGTACGGAGACCTGTACGATTTCGTCAACTTAGTGAGTTTGATAGGGGCCTTATAGTGGAACTTCGGGAAGCTGGACTTTCTTTTCGGGCAATTGCAGTTAGAGTGCAAAGAAGTGTAGACACTGTGCTTAGGTGTTGTCAGGCATGGCTTCGAGAAGGCCGTACGCAAAGAGCAAGGGGCACTGGACGCCGCCGTAGAACAACATACCGTGAAGATCGCCGCCTAAGATTATTGGCCTTAAGGGACCGTGTCTCCACTACCAGGTCCATTGCAAATGAATGGTTTGCAGAACACGGAAGATCTATTGGCATGCGAAGTGTTTACCGACGAATGAGAAGTTTTGGCTTGTTTTCATACCGGCCACACTGGGTCCTCCCTTTAACTCGAGAACACCGACGTAATCGCCTTGAGTGGTGCAGACAACGGTCACTCTGGGATCAGGAATGGAACAGTATTGTCTTTAGTGACGAGTCTCGATCTTGTTTAGGCATGCACGATGGTCGTGCCAGGGTTAGAAGGCGACGTGGTGAAAGGAGGAATCCACAGTTTTTTGTTGAAAGACATGTTCATCACACTGTTGGAGTTATGGTTTGGGGTGCTATACCTTATGGTTCCAGATCACCTTTAATCTTCATCAGAGGTAACATGAACGCGCAGCGTTATATCCACGAAGTTCTAGAACCCCATCTTTTACCCTATCTTGATACCCTGGCAGATCCAACTTTCCAACAAGATAATGCCCGACCACATGTTGCAAGAGTCACAATAGACTTCTTTCAACATAATGATGTCACATTGTTACCATGGCCACCAAGATCTCCCGACTTATCCCCAATTGAGCACGTGTGGGATATGATGGTTAGGAGATTGTTCAATTTGCAACGTCCTCCTCAGACTCTAGAAGCACTTCGAGAGGAGTTGGTGGTTGACTGGAATGAGATACCACAGGAGGACATTGACCACCGATCAGAAGCACGCCTAGGCGCGTTGGAGAATGCGTAGCACATCAGGGTGCATCCACACATTATTAAAGGTCAAAGGGCTTTAAAGCAGTACAATCATTTTGAAATTTTTTATCATTTACTTATTATGCTTCATTAAGTACTTATACAAAATTTTATTAAAATAAAACCATTTAAACTGTGTGTTCGGATTTATATGTCACTTAGTATATGATTTAAACAACGTTTTATATGTTTAAATCAGAAAAATCATGTTTAAAACAAAAAAAAACGTTTAAAACAAAAAACCTGTGTTTTGTATAAAATATAAAAAACACATGTTTTTTGCTTTAAAATAAAGTAAAAAAATGTAATGTATTGTAAATTGATGGACCTGTTTGACCTACTTGATCGGTTTAATTTTTCTATAGCACCTGTTGTGAATATTTTTTTTCTTAGTACTTAGTAGAACTTGTGTTGAACTTTATCCTTTATGAACTGACGACTGCGTTGCGTAAGAAGTCCAGAGTCAACCTTCTTGATGCCTACCGTCGATCTCAGTGAACAAGTGACATCAGATTCGTGATTTACGCACTGGATTATTCAAGATTGCGGATACACAAGAATTTTGAGAAAATTTTCTTCATAGTAGCGATCTACCGATGTGAAAACACGAAAACCTCAGAACCCAGGAACCACTAAATTGATTTTTGAGATTTTTGTGGAATGCGTTAGAAGTACTGTATGTAATATTTACGGTGTCGCTACCGAGTTACAGAGTGTTATTTTCATTTATTCATATATTTATAATTTCTCTTAAATTATTTGAGTTATTTAGATGTAGATGTAGACATTAGGAGGCTTAATCTGTATTGGTTATATTCGACTCAATCTTCCCAGGGGCGGCGTTATCAAATTTTATCAGGGTATTTCGGGTTTTAACTAAACAAGCTACTACTACTTCTTTGTCAGTGTGGACTTTCAGTTGAAAAAATATTTTCTCCTACTCGTAAACAAGTAGTTTCAGACTAACAACTAAAAAAAATCGCTAAATAAAAAAATGGAATTAAACAGAAGTGTGGGTATACCCCTGGCTCACCTTAAATTTATTCTTCAGGAGACAAGACAAATAACAATAACTACAGTTTTTGATTAAAGAAAATTTGCGATGCAAATACCGGGATATATTTGCCTTCATACGGATCAAAATATGCGGTTTTGTTCTTCTTTATGAGAACATTTTATTCCTTCCAGTTATTACTGCGGTTGATCTGTATAGCTCTGCAATTGCTTATCAATTCCTTTGATCGTACCCACAAAGAAACCAGTGGCGTGCTTAGTTGAAATTTGTTAGCGCCGGCCTTGGGGTAATCCAATTGGATTCAACCAGTACAAATTAAGTCCGTTAATGAACAACATCGATTCACAGTTTCAACTAAATCACTCATTTACAAGGAATTAAAGGTATCAATATTATATATTATACGAGTAAGGAAACCGTAAGTTGTCATGGACTTTTTTATTAGGTTTAATATATCAAGTGGTATAATATAAAGCTAAATCACTGCATATACGCATCCCCACAACTTGTCTGGTTTCTGAGCCACCAGACCTATCAGACTGACGACAGACACTGACATTACAGTGACTATGACCTAAAGGCTAAGGTCCTCCGGACCGCCTTGAGAAGCAACGACGAGTAGTACCGCGTATACGCATATAAATAAAAACAATCGAAAATTGAAAGCGCACAAGATTAATTGGCCGACGTTTTAATATACGGTATTTTAAACGGTAAGAGATACGAAGTCGCTTAAATGGGGTCAATTTCTCTATTTAGGTAACTTACAAAAAGTAGAAGAAATTTAAAGCACTTCCAGAGAGAGGCAGAAACAACCGAATTTTCCCAAAAGTTTTCCTGACTTCATTTGTAATGGGATTTTGAAATAAACTGCATTTCAACATTGCCACTTTTTCTCCTTGAAAGGATGGCATCAACTCTATTTTTTCTAAAGGACTCCATATTGTTTTTCTTGCACAGGTGAATCGAGTTTATAATACTGATTCCAAAAATGTACAGGGTTATTACAAAAGAATCATCGGGTTTCAGAGAGTATTTCAAATATAGTATCAAATGACATATCACTAGAACTGCGAACGCAGCTTTACCTCCCTAGGTAGCGCCACGAGCTCAGTATACAAAATGGCGACTATGCAGCAGAAAGCGTTGTGTGTGTTAGAGTACGCGCGATGTTTATCGGTTGTTACAGTGCAACGTGAATTCCTACGGCGGTATGGAACTGATTCTCCAGGTCATCAGAGCAGTCTACGAATTCAAGAAGACAGGTTCCATTACTAAACGTAAAAGTACCGGAAGACCACGAGTTCCTGACGAAATGGTAGACGCAGTTAGACACAGTTTCACGCGTTCTCCGCGAAAGTCCACTAGCAGAGCCGGAAGTGAACTTGGTATTCCCCAGCCAACCGTATGGAAAATTTTGCGGAAACCATTGCGATTCAAACCGTCTACAGATGCTACAAAGCTTACGATCTGACGACCACGTAAAGCGACTTGATTTTTCATCTAACATGCTGTAGGCAATGGAAGACGACGAATTTGCTGTCTGGTATTCAGCGACGAAGCGACATTTCATTTAAGTGGAAGGGTGAACCGTCATAACATTCGGATATGGAGCACTGAAAATCCTCATATGATTGAGCAACATGAAAGGGATTCTCCAAAATTGAATGTCTTCTGTGCAATATCCAAAAATAAAGTGTACGGGCCTTTTTTCTTTCATGAAAATACTGTGAACGGTTCATCCTACCTAGATATTTTGCATTTGTGGTTATTTCCGCAACTAACAGAAGATTCTAACAACTTCATATTCCAACAAGATGGAGCTCCGCCTCACTGGCATCATGAGGTGCGTCGGTATTTAAACGAGGCACTGCCTCACCGTTGAATTGGCCGAGGTACTGCACAAGAATTGGTATTGTTCGCGTGGCCTCCCAGGTCTCCCGACCTTACACCATGCGATTTTTACCTTTGGGGTTACATTAAAGATATGGTTTACATACCACCTCTGCCAACAACATTGGGTCAAGAATGAATGAATCTTGATATTAGAGGCATTCCGGCCACCATAAGGAGCCAGTGCATAGGCCGCTTAAGCGGGTCCTTATGCACCTCTACAATCGTTAGATCACAAGCCTCGCCCTTTTAGCGAAGTTGAGAATCGCCTTGACGTCTTGAGGGTCCAAAGTAATGGACCCCAGTATAGTCTGCCTATAGTAGCGCAGAGCTTCACAGCGACACAACACGTGCGCCGAGGTATCTTCCTCTACTCCGCAGCGTTCACACAAGGGATCCTCAGCCACCCCCATCACGTGCAGGTGACGCCTTAACGTGTTATGGCCAGACAACAGTCCCACCAGCCTTAGGTTGGCTCTATCCAGAGATAGGCAGAAGCGCCCATCCTTAGTACTGGGCCCTTCAATGAGTTCCCGTGCCTGGCGGAGATGTCTGGATATACTTCTCCATTTCTGAGAGTGTTGTCTTGCAACCCACGTCTCTATTTTCCTCCTAGCTTTATGCGCGGTCACTCCTAGAGCTGGCTCAGGACCAACGAGCTTGCTGGCTGATCCTGTCTTCGCCAGAGTGTCCGCCGTCTCATTGCCCCTTATCCCAGCGTGCCCCGGTACCCATATTAACGATACCGGATGCCTCGCTGCAAAGCAATCCAGAGCCTCCCTGCATTGCAATACAAGACTCGAAGTAATCTTACAGGCACTTAGTGCTTTCATTGCAGCCTGGCTGTCGGATAAGATTGTTATTCTTCTCCTAGGCCCTCCCTCCTCCAGAATGTGAGATACACAAGCCAGAATCGCAAAGATTTCCGCCTGGAAAATAGTGTATCCACCGAGAGGCAGAGATAGCCTAGTTCTAGGCCCAGAGACCCCAGCACCTGAGCCCACTTCGTTGGATACTCCACAATAAACTTGCGGTTGAAGCGATATTAATACGAATACGATCACCCCTGCTTAGAAGGACGGGGTCCTCCCTTTGTAATTCGACTAAGATGGCAGTATGCCCCTTGACAGGATTTAAGAAAGCCCAGCTGCCCTTACTCCACAGTCGATGAGCGACTACTCTCGCTTCACCGCGGATCACCAGATCCACGGTGGGAGATCCAACGAGCTTTCATTGCACTCAATGGCGTTGTGTGCACTGCGCTTGTAATACTAATACAGGCCAAACGCTGAATTTTATTGAGTTTGGCCTTAGTTGTCTCAGTTCTAATGCAAGGCCACCAGACCAGGGAGCTGTACAACAGAGATGGACGTACTATCGTCGTGTAGAGCCAGTATACCACTTTGGGTTTAAGCCCCCACATTACCCCGACAACACGTCTACAAGCCCACATTGAATTGCGAGCCTTGCTAACCTTGTATTCAACATGCTCTCTCCAGTTCAGTTTACAATCCAGGATAATTCCCAGATATTTCACTGACTGGGACAATACTAATCTAGTCCCAAAGAAGGTCCGCATGACGAGCCCATCAAGCCTTCTTCTCCTAGTGAATAGGATCAGCTCGGTCTTTTCAGCATTAACAGAAAGATCTACTTCCCTACACCACGATTCTACGGAGCGCAGAGCGCCCTGCATAATTTCCAAGACTGTTCTACAAAAACGTCCCCTAACTACTATGCTTACGTCATCAGCATAGGCTTGCGCGTAGATACCCATACTGCTGAGCCTAACGAGGAGTTCGTTCACCACGATACACCACAGTAGGGGTGACAGAACTCCGCCCTGAGGGCAGCCTCTAGCTACACTCACGCTGCAGCTTACGTCATTCAGCATAGCTGTTGTTACCCGACCCTCCAGAGTAGATAGGACCCAATGTATTAGGATTGATCCAACCCCCTGTCTAACCAAGGCATGTCTTATAGAGTCGGTTGTGGTGCAATTAAATGCACCTTCAATGTCCAAAAAGGCCACGAGTGCCACTTCTCGCTGATCTAGAGTCTTCTCCAGCCTACCGACCAGATTGTGTAAGGCCAGATCAGTCGATGTTCCAGCTTGGTATGCAAACTGATTTGCATGAATGACACACCTTTCCAGCGGGCCATCCCTTAAGTATCTATCAACTATCCTTTCCAGTGTCTTAAGCACAAAAGATGAAAGAGTAATCGGTCGAAAATCCTTCGGGCCAGTATATCTAGCTCTGCCCGGTTTAGGAATGAATACCACTTTAGCCTGCCGCCAGCTTCTAGGTGTGAAGCCCGTGACCACACATGCTCGAAACACATTCAACAGGTAAGGAACAACCGAACTCCGTCCCTGCTGTAACATGGCCGGAAATACGCCGTCCAGACCTGGACTTTTGTATGGAGCAAACGAATCTACTGCCCATGCCGTCAACATTGGGTCAACTCCGGGAATGCATTACTACTGTTATTAACAATATCGATCGGGACACATTGGAGCGTGTATGGGCCGAACTGGACTATCGGTTGGACATATGTCGTGTGACGCAAGGAGCCCACATCGAACATTTGTAACAACATGCTTAAAATCTTGAATATTTTACCTTTCCATTGACATGTCACTTACTGTTATATCTGCAATACCTTCAGAACTATTATTTTTAAAACCCGTTTGCAAGATCCCACTGGTCGGGGTCGATTTTGAAACACCCGCTGTGGTGCAGGTAGGGGTGTTAAATCACTAGATTTATGATTGACACTGTTTTTTGTGGAAACATTGCATAATTCGACCATTCATACCAAAGCAAAATTTTGTAATGCATTTCGCCGTGTCACAATATGAATGTAAACGGGAAATAGCGTGCTTGGTGCAGTATCGACGACGGTAGCAATTTATAAAACTTTAAAATGATAATAAATATGTTGTATAGCAAGGAATCAAGGTCTTTGCAAACAATAGTCGGGATCAATAATTTGCTGCTGGCGAAACCGTAGAAAAGGTAGAGGTAATTCACTATTCAGTGCATATGAGCTCAATGTATATTACGTGTTTTTAAATAACCACAAATCACCGAACTGATAAGCTGTGCATGGACTTACCATAGAATAAAAAAAGTATATTTGGTACGCTGAGAGCGACATTAACTACAGAAGACTGATTATCTTTTATTTCTCTAATATACGGATATACGAATATAAATCTAGCCTAAGGGCTTTCACTAATATACCGGGTGTTAATTATGTACTTTTAATTTAACAGGCGCTTCTTTGAGACAAAAAGTTTATATAAACATAGGTCCGCATATTCTTCGATCTCAAGCTACAAGGTGTTAAAATTAAAAAAAAAAGGTTTTTCGTAAGAGATACGGAGTGGCTTAAATGGGGACAAAGTTGCGTATTTAGGTCACTAACAAGATGCCGCTTATATTTTGAAATCCGAAGCATTCCCGGAGAGAGGTGGAAAAACCTGAATTTTCCCGTTTTAATTTTTTCCTGACATTAATGGTTGGTTCGTACAGCCTGTTTGCTGACAATCAGCAAACTAATAGTCAATGACAAGTCATGACCTAGTTTACTCAGTTAGGTGTCACTGTCACTTCACTGACTGTATAAATTGCGTACATGAGAACGTTACGAGTTGGCTGAGGGAGCTTGGACCGATTACTGACAACTGATCCACTGTACAGAAACTTCTCACTGTTTGATGACTGCCAAATTAGTCAGAAGATTATCGTCCAGTAAACTGTCAAAGCTCGAAATCAAGTAGAATCATTATTCGAATGTAACATTTTTCAGCATGACGTAGACAATTTAGGAAAAGTTGGGGTATGTTGATTTGCTGTAAACCAGAATGATTTATGATTTATCGTCCAATTGCCCGAAAGTGCCTAAATTTTCTTCTAGAGAGGACACTTTCTAGGAAAAATAACAGCACTCAAAAATGTCAAGTAGATTTACTCAGTAATTACCATTCAATTCTCATTTAAAAGGTATAAACGATTTGAAGAAAAGTGATTCCACTCATCGAATGACACGTTGAAGAAGCAAACAGTAAGAATTCTGAATAAACACCTGCAGTGATTATGCATGGAAAATGTATAAAGTATTGTAAATAAAACTCGGATAGTAGGGTTTTTGTTCCTTGTTCCCTTGCCGCCCAGCTTCAAAGTGTATGCACAAACAGTACGAGGGATGTCTTTTAAGTTTTGCATATGGAAATAAAACAACACCGTAGGTAGTCTTAAATGACTTTATTGTTTTTCGAAGTATTCCCCACAAAGATTAATACACATCTGCATGCGCTCGAACCAATTTTCGAAGCACTTATTCCACTCGTTTGCTGGCAGATCCAAAACGGTATTTTTGAATGCGTCAACTGGTTCTTCTGATGACTGGAAGCTTTGACCACGCAGTTTGTTTTTAATTTTCGGGAAAGTAAAGAAATCGTTAGGACTTAGATCGAGACTATATGGAGGATGGTCCAATAATTCCACATTTCCTTCCGTTAAATACTGCCTGGTTTTTTGTGCTGTGTGCGAGCTTGCATTGTCTTGGTGGAGGACGATTCTTCTTTCGGGGTTGATTTTTCGAAGCTCGGGGATGACTTTTGGCAAACAAATGGTGGTATACCAATCCGCAGTAACAGTTCTTTGCTCATTAAGAGGAATTGTTGAAATATGACCCGCTTCGAGAACGGATGACTTTTGTTGGCTTTTCTTCCCCTTGGAACACCCAAACAGCCGACTGTCGTTTATTTTCTGGTTCATAACAGTAAATCCAGGATTCATCACACCACTAACAATGCTGTACACATTTTTTGAGTTTCCGGAATTGAAACGGTCAAGCCTTTTTTGACACCAATTAACCCTGGCTGCTTTCTGCTCTTCATTCAACAGGTGGGGTATCCAACGAAAAACTAATTTTCTTACTCCTAATTCTACATGTAAATTTTTTTGAATTGAGGTCTTTGAGATCTTCAAGGACGCCTTAATCTCGCGATATGTCACATGTATATCTTCAATGATGAGTTTGCGCACAGCATCGACGTTTTCCTGGGTGACTGCCGTTTTTGGTGCACCCAGCCCGGAATCGTCGCTAAGACTCACCCGTCCACGTTTGAATTCTCCATACCAACGGGAAATTGTCGACTGATGTGGCGCTTCGTTGCCGAAAACAGACAGTAACTCAGCAAGGCATTCTTGTTGCGATAATTGTCTCTGAAAGTTGTAATAAATTATGGCGCGAAAATTTTCTCGGTTGAGTTCCATTTTCCAATGACTTGGTGACACTTAAAAATTCACTGTAGTGAGAACACTACACGTATTGTTGTGAAACTTTGAATTTAAGTTTACTGAAGAGTTAAGAGAGGTTAAGATTTAGTACTGACGTTCGATCCGCGCAACCTACTATGTTTCTATATGCAAAACTCAAAAGACATCCCTCGTATCGTAGTGGCGGAGGAGCTAAGTGCAAAAAATAAACAAAAATGAAAGTCGCTCAAATTTCGTTTTTTTGACAGATGCTCCTAATCATTTTCAGAAAAAGTTTACTCGAGAAGTTGTGGTCGTCATTTTAAAAAATGATGAAATCGCAAACATATTTTTTAAATATGGCATTTGGTAATTGCAATTAAGATTTCCACTTTTTCTCATCTACAAGATGGTATGATTGGAATTTCAATATGACGTTTCGTCTCTTGTCGTCCAGCATCAACTTTATTTTTTCTAATGGTTGCCATACTGGATATTTGCACAGTTGATTAGAATTCTTGATTCTGAGTTAACGCGATCCAAATCGTAATTGTTTGGCCGACGTATTTAAAAATGGCCACAACTGGCGAGGAAGTATTGCAATAAAAATTTAAAAAATGAGATGTTTTTTGAATCTTATATAACATCTACATCTCGAAAAAAATTTCACACATGGTTACTTCTATGCTAACGACTAAGAATAAACAAAAATGAAAATCGCTCAAATTTCGTTTTTTTTCACAGAGGCTCCTAATCATTTTCAGAAAAAGTTTACACCACAACTTGTGGTCATAAGGACGTTGTTTTAAAAAATGAAGAAATTGCAAACATATTTTTTGAATATGGCGGCAAAACGAGCACGAACTGGATCGGATGACCTAATTTTGATATACTGCCATTGATGCCCAATGATATTCACTTATTCAAACTGAGAGAATATTATAACGGCACACGTCACCTCAGTGGCTGCTCCTAGACTAATCACAGAAGCAATAGAATATTGATATGCCCAAGCTTCTTAGGACCTATCCTTCCCAAAAAACAAATCAGTTACTTTATCCGCAACCTCAAAGCGAAACTGTCAGTTGTGTGGCAGTTGCTCCGATGAGGACACAAAAGTAGCGGAACCGTTGTCAAAATCAAGGTGAAGCCGGAATGGCGTAGGTTTGCTGTTGCTAGAACAGCGAATATTTGCTTTTGCATATATTTTAATTACATATCTTTCATAAATATGGTTTCATCCCATTTATTGCGATAGTAAAATCTACTTCTATACAGGGTATCCCACGTGGAACTGCAGCGGTCAACTACCCAAAAACCTGATGCAATACCTATATAGGGTTATACAGGGTGCGGCAGAGAGGACGGACGTTTTTGGGATGGGTAGTACTCTCCGTCTACGAGAGAGGTGGGGAGGGTGCCGTTTGACTCGTGAGATCCTAGCATTATTTTACCAGTTGTCGTTATGGAGCCTTGAACGGTGGAGCACCGCGTTTTCACCTATGATTGTTTCGTCCGAAATAATGAGTCAGTCATCGTCGTGCAACGTGAGTTTCGTCACCACTTCAACATTCATCGGAATAGAGCTGTTCCCTCTCGAAACACCATCTTTCGTTGGATTGAATCACTTCGTAGGCGTGGTTAGCTGATCAACAGAAGACCAAGAGGAGCGCCGCGAACAGTTCGAACGCCTGAAAATGTTGAACGCGTTCGACAGGTCTTTCTTCGCAGTCTGACTCGATCTGCCCGGAAACATGCTGCTGCACTTCGCCTTAGTTCGGTAAGGCGAATTTTGCATATGGATCTCCGCTTTCACCCCTACAAATTGACCATTATGCAACAGTTACAGCCCGGAGATTATACACAACGAATGAACTTCGTACGTGAGATGGAAGTACTGATCGATCAAAATGAGAACCTAATTTTGTTTATGAGTGACGGAGCCCACTTTCACCTAAACAGCATGGTTAACAAGCAGAATTGTTGTTATTGGGCTAATGAAAATCCGCAACAGTTACACGAAAGACCGCTGCACAGCCCAAAAGTAACGGTTTGGTGCGCTGTATCGCAAACTTGCATCATTGGCCCTTACTTCTTCGAAGACGGTAATGGTCGTGATGTTACCGTGAACTCGGAGCGCTACGTCGACAGGATCACCAACTTCTTTCTCCCTGAATTACGACGGCGACGTGTTCCAATCCGACGTGTGTGGTTCCAGCAGGATGGGGCGACCGCCCACACAGCCCGAGCATCCATGGACGTTATTCGCCCTCTCTTCCCTGGACGCCTTATTTCCAGGTTTGGCGATGTACATTGGCCTTCTCAGTCCCCAGATTTATCCATATGCGATTTTTTCTTATGGGGACACCTCAAGGCTAGAGTATACGCGAACAAGCCGCGAACTCTGGACGAATTGAAGTGCGAAATTCGCGTGGAAGTCGCCCAAGTTGAGAGAGCGATGTTGGAGAGAGTCCACGCGAACTTCCAAGAACGCCTCCAGCACTGCATCAACGATTTCGGCCACCACATGCCTGATGTGATTTTCCACACTTGACTCTCTCAAATGCTATTTCCTTGTGAACCTGATTCCATCAATAAATTTGTTTTCGAGTGAAAATTAACTATTTTATGATTTTTTTAAAACCGTCCATCCTCTCTGCCGCACCCTGTAATATGATCGGTGCAATTCGACTAAAATATTTTCAAAATTGTGACACTTGCTGTTGAACCGCAAGTAGATACCAACTTGCTTAGAATGTCACGTAGAATCTAAAAAATTAATAATATACAAGGTGTTCCATTTCAAATATGCACGTTGGTATCTACATCTAGTACACGCGAAAGCGCCCACCATTTTGGGAATATTTTAGACGAATAATCCCAAATTTTTATAATTGTCTTATGTTACCTTTTCGAGTAATCACTCGCTGGAACACCCTGTATGCAATACTACTGCTACATTATAAAATATAATCTATTCCGGCCTGTCTAGGAGTACCTCTATAACATTGTCATTGACAGATATCGCTTTTATATAAACCTGATAATATTCCTTTTGTTAGTGACATCTCCATTATTTGCGACAGTGGTTCACTGTGGTCGCCTAAAAGTCCGCTTTTTGTTTTGTAAATCAATTGGATTTCCGTGGAAATCCGTTCGGGAAATGCGAGTAAAATGCATAGAGGACGTGAAGTGGTGTTGTGTGACTGTGTGGACAACGTCGAGCAATAACGACAACAATTTGATGGTTTCGTACCAAATGCGTTTATCTATCATATTTTTGAAATAGAGATATACGAACGGGTACCAAATTATTTTTTAAAAGCTATTTATTTTCAACTTTTTCACAAAGTAACCTTATCTCCTTCAATATACTGTCCACTACAACTAATAGACTTGTCCCGCCGGTGCTTCCACTGCTCGAAACATTTTTTGAAGTCTTCCTTGGAAATGTCTGACGGCTCCTCCCTCGTTTTTTCTTGACTTCTTCAATGTCGTCAAAGCGGCATCCTTTCATGCTCCTGTTCATCCGTGGAAATAAGAAAAAGTCGCACGGAGCCAGGTCAGGCGGATAAGGTGCGAGACGACAGTGGAACCATGCCATTTTTAGCCAGAAACTGTCGAACAGAGATGGCTGTGTGCGCAGGTGCATTAACGTGCTGGAAGAACCAGTCTCCTAACTGTCTCAAATCGGGACTTTTTTTGACGAACACTGTTTCGCAATCGTCTTAAAACCTGCAAATAGCAAAAGCTCTCTCTCTCTTACCCATAACATCATCTTTGTAAGCTATTTTCAACATTAAAACAGTTTCAGCAGCATTTTTCCAATTAGAAAGTAAAATTTCACAGCTGCACGTTGCTCACTGAAGCTTGCCATCGTAAAAAAACGAAACAATCACGAAACAGCTCTAGCAAAAATAATGAATACAGAGGAACGAATCAAGCCAGATCGACAACTTAGGTGGCACTGCACTGGTAATGAGTTGCGCTGTACGCCTCTAGGGGCAGAAATGTGTTCGCCCAATGCAATGCTATTCCGGTTATTTTTGGATACCTCCTCGTATTCCCCCCGGGACGCGTTAGACACCATCTGATGTTAAAGAACTGTACGTAGGTCACTAGATAAGTCTTGTCATTCATTATGTTAATGTTACTGTTTCTCAAAATAATGCCCTTCACTTCACATTTATAAACAATTGCTCCAATTATTGCTTCAATTTTTCTGTTGTAATGAACTTCTCCCCGCTCACCAATTTGAGTTGCAGATGCCCCCCCCCCTCGCACTTCAATTTCAAAATTTCAATCGCCTAAAATATTACATAGATCCCCTCCTGCTGAACAGAGTCCGTAGGCAGTTTTTATAAGATATCGGTGACCGAAGAACATAGAAATCATTCTTTTTCTAACCGATCGTCTGTGATTGGGCTTCGTCGAATACGAGCCCCTTCCCACTTCAAGATATGTAAGAAAATATGCCTTTATAAACTAAACATGACGAAACTGTTTACTTCTAAAACAATTTATTTTCTCAAAAACATTTTAGATACACTCTAGTCGTAAAAAATACATATTTGAAATCACTTAGACCTATAACTAATAGAACATCTGAACAAATAAACAATGCGCGAATAAATGCGCGAAGTTAACAAAGCAACAATTGAAAGATTACCATTGGGTAACATCAGCTTTATTTTTTATTACGGCTGAAATTCTTTGGGGCATAGTGTTAACCAAGTTTTGTAAAAAATTTGGTGTAAAACAATCCCATATTTCTTGAAGCTTTTGTCTCAGTTCGGTGATTGTACGAGCAGGATGTTGTCGTAGAACCTTTTTCATCTCGTGCCACAAAGTTTCAATAGGTGACAGATCTGGACTGCTAGAAACCCATTTCAAAAGTGGTAGATTATTTTCTTCCATCCATTTTATAGCCTTTTTTGAGGTATGGCACGCTGCACCATCTTGCTGAAACACAAAATCTTGGCCGGATGTCAAACATTCTTCCATCACTGGTAAAAGCGATTCTTCTAAAATTGCCAAATAGTTGTTTGTATCTACGTAGTCATGCCATAAGTTCTGTCCCTCGTTTTCAAACAAGTGTAGACCTGTTAATACTTGTCCGATTGTTTACATTGTGGTGTCAGTTGATTAAGCGCTTTTCGGATAATTACATATACCTCAGTTTGTATTGATCTCTCGAAGCATAACGATGGAGTGGGGCAAGGCAGAGAACCGTATTGCAGTGATAGCTTTACATAAGTGTAATCACAGTGCTAGTCAGATTTTTGAACTCTTACGCGGCCTTCAAATATCGCGTAAATTTGTGTCTAGGACCATTCAGCGGTACAATGAGACGTCCTCTGTTGATGACAGGCCAAGAAGCGGAAGATCTCGTCAAGTAAGGACTCCAGCAGCCATCAAAGCCGTAAAAGCCAGGATTCAAAGGAAACCACTCCGGAAGCAGAAGATCCTATCCAGGGAAATGAAGATTCCTGTCCGGACGATGTCGCGCATCATTAAACAAGACCTAGGGCTAGGGGCTTACCGGAGACGTACGGGCCAGCGACTTACGGCCACCTTGCGACACATCAGGGCGACAAGATCCAAGAAGCTCTTGGAGAGGTACGCAGCTGGGGGATTCCGAAAGATTTTGTTCACGGATGAGAAAATCTTCACCATAGAAGAAAAATTCAACCGACAAAATGACAAAGTGTATGCAAGGAGTTCACAGGAAGCTTCGGAGATCATTCCGAGAGTTGAGAGAGGCCACCACCCTGCGTCAGTCATGGTTTGGTGGGGGGTGTCCTACGAAGGGGTCACTCAGCTCCATTTCTGTAAACAGGGCGTGAAAACAAAAGCGGCAAACTATCAGAGCGACATACTGGATCCTATCGTCAAGCCTTTAAGTGGTACATTGTTTGCCAACCAACACTGGGTCTACCAGCAGGATTCCGCCCCCGCTCACAAGGCTAAGAGTACGCAGCGCTGGCTGGAAAGCAATGTGCCAGAGTTCATTGCTGCGGAAGATTGGCCCTCAGGGAGTCCGGACCTCAATCCTTTAGACTACAAGTTGTGGGACCTGCTAGAGCAGTTGGCCTGCTCCAAAGCCCACCGTAATATCGAGTCCCTGAAAGCGGATTTGATCCGATCAGCGGCAGCTATTCCTTTGGAAGCTGTGCGTGCAGTGATAGATGAGTGGCCCGCGAGATTGAAGCAGTGTGTGAAGGCCAAGGGGGGACATTTTGAATAAAACTGTTTGATTATGAATTCTAAAAATGTTGTCGAATAAATAATATCTTTCATATAAATATATCTTATCTTGTTTCATTTTTATCATGAGATTATCATGGGACAGAACTTATGGCACGACTACGTACATTTCCATCAATAAAATGAAGTTTTCCTACTCCTTTTGATGACATACTGCCCCAGACCATAATGGTTGCTGGAAATTTCACTTTTTTATAAGAAAACTTACTTGGCAAGTGGTAAATCCCAGTTTGTGGGCCTCTCTATGAGTTGTGGTCCTCGAAATTCTCCTTCCAACAGCGTCACTCCACAGAGCACTTAATTGTAAAGAATTGGCACGCCTGTTTTTCACGATTATTCTTCTTAATGCTCTTCGGTCGGCATTTGTAATATTACTTTTTTTCACATATCGTGGCCTAATATTTGTTTAACCCGTTACGTTATATCTTCTAACAATATTTCTCACACTGTACCGCGATAAGTCTTACAAAGTTGCAATTTCTGAGTTTGATTTCCCAGAATTAAAAAATTTAATTATCAGTAACCGAATTTTCTCACTAATAACCTTTCCTCTACCCATTTTGAAAACCTTAACTACCCAAAACTATTTTAAACGTATTCTGACAGCTGTGATTAATAAAAACAATTGTCATGGTTTTTATTTTTCACAGCCACCTATGCGTTATAGACTTATTTTGCATTGAAATGTAAATAGGTTGATATGCTCTAATTGCAACATGTGTTATTTTTATGCTGCAAATTTGATTAGGGAGTGATGAAGTTGGTATTTTCTACTATATATTCTCAAAATATTCATTGTTAATATTTTAAACCTATACCACCCTGCTACATGTTTATTATTTGTGTTAAATAAGAAAAAAACTAAGATTTCAATAGTTGGGCCAACTGAAGTGGGAAGGGGCTCGTACTCATCGCCGTCAAATGCCCACATCGTCAAAATAATACAGCCACGTTTTATCACCAGCTCCTATTGACTAAAACCTCAGTAGATTGTCCTGGTTTAAAATTTAAATATTCGAGGTGTTCATTTCATATTTCAGCGTTAGAAAATTATTATTATTATTATTATTCTGAACTCAAATAACTACAACTATCAGTCAGGCTCCTTCAAATAAACTGAATCGTGATTATGTGAACCGTCCACGACATTCTCCAAATCACTTTCCACTCCCCATTTAAAACAAGAGTCACGAAAGAGATCGAAAGTATACCATGCTGTCGTCTTTTTGCTCCATGAGAACGTGGCTGTACAGCCATTTGGCTTCGCTTAGGAAGTACAAGTCTCAGCGATTCTTTATCGTAGTTTATCAAAAAATATAGGCTAAATTCTAAGTACAGAATCACTCGCTACATATTGCTCAATAGTTCAATCAGTGGAGATTATCGTTTCGAAAAACTAGGACAAGCCTGTGTTCCTTTACTAGAAACTGCATGTCTCTGTATTCCCTGTTAGCCCCACGGTGCCCGGACAGTTGGACTCTGGGCCTTAGTGATGGTTCAGGTATAAAAAATCTTATTAAAGTTTAAACAAATAAGGTTGAACAAGAAAACGGCTCGGCTTATATTGTACTATATTTTTATATTACAAAATATGAAGCATTACAAATAGTATTGAATACTATAACAATCGCAGAATGTTATTGTACATTAGTAGTATTTTTCCATATAATTTAATTGAGAACGATGTGTTTTGATATTCGTAGATATCTCTATTATTGGAATTGCCTTTGATGACCTACTTTTATTGTTTTATAAGTTACCTACAATATTTTCATCAACTGAGACATAGTATATAAACAAGTCCTATAATGTTCCTACAGAACGCGGCTTAGATTTTTTTTTAAATCAGCCATCAATCCTCATAATGAAATATTTGATTTAAGTTGTGAACTGCTTTCCATCTGTTTCTATCTTTCTGACTGGAAACTTAAAAATAGGCTAGAAGCTTCTATATGTAGGCAAAACCATGTGCGCAGAGTTATAAATTGATATGGGTTGCAGGTTGCGTATGTTTTAATTAATGGTCACCAAGAATAACATCAAAAAAATCAATAAAATACCTTGATAAAGTTTAACGTGTATCAAATTATATCTAAGATTGAAAAGTGAGTGTGTCTATTCAGAAATTGAAATTTAGAAAGCAATGTAATATCTAAAGTTCAATTTATATCTTCGATGTGTCAATTGAGAAATTAAAATGTAGAATGACCAGCTCTTTAAACAATTTGGTAGTTGTTTTACTCATTTGCGACTATCTGTACTAACGCAATTTGTAGATCGATAAACAAGATGAAAAGCAATAATTTGAAAAATATGTTTTTTCGATTACAACATATATACGTTTTCATCTGTTTGCATTGAAGATGCTGCAGAAAGCTTCACATATTCTGCGGTCAAAATAACTAAACAATGTTTGAATTCTTATTAAATATTTTGTGCCTACATTGTTACAATAACATTTTGCTCACTAGATCTTTCAACAAGTCAATCCATTTTGTTGGCGTATTGTGTTCTGCATAGTTTAAATTTCTAAAATTCTGATTATAACTGACAATTATTTGCAGTATTTCGTTGCAGAATAGGTCACAAATTAATGTAATTCGTGATATCAAAGGTGACTGCCTACAAATTACATATACACATGATATCTTATGTATATGCCATTTCATGGCTTATTGTATGAAAAACCGACTGTTTATTAAATAGTTTATGTACAACATACGAAAGCTATGGCAGTCAAAAACACTTAATCTTTTCACATTCGCACTAAGTTTTACGCTGCTTTGGCAGATTTCTTGTGATAAATCTTAGGATTACTGTTAGTGACTTTATTTTGTGATTTCTTATTGTAACTCTTCTGGTAGAAGTCGTAGAACATCTTGAATATCAGGACGATATTCGGAACGTAGATTAGCATCAGTGCCCTTGGCACTTTGCAGTTTGGTGTTAGGCTGGTTAAGGCGTGGATTATCAGCAGGGAAAATTGTATCTAAAAGGAAAACGTATTTATTATTAATATGAATCTATATTTCTAGTGCAGATATTCTAAAGACCTGACAAAGCTGAAGAAACTTATTTTAGCACCTGTAGTTACTAGACCGCAATATGTAGTGTCCAACTTGAAAGGGTTGCATCGACAGGTAAACGTTTGCGAAAAGGTGAACCCCTACGTCGAAAGCAGGAAAGTACAGTTTCTTCAAACTGAACATGCTGAATAGGATCTGATTTCTGCACTTGTGTCCATAAGCAACCGTATACAATGTTGTTTCGTCCTTTTTGCGAATCATCAGAACAACGTTGTTGGTTATGGTAACATAGACGACAAAAACAGATCATATTTAGCCTGTGTTTTGTTTATACGTCTTTTGCATAGTACGTCAAAGCTGGATAGCATTGTGAGAACTTAACTCTACCCTGATTGGTGAAATGCCTAAGTAGTTTTCGACATTTGTCCTGTTCATTGTCAATCAAAGATACCTGGACAATGTTTAGCTCATGGTAATAGGAATAATACGATTTATTTGCAGCTACAAGTACCAAAACATAATAAGAATTACACAGAAGTACTGAAATATAAGCAGCTACAAAAAGGACTAGTAAGCAGTCTATGACTGATCAAGGTGCTAGCTATGTCATCATATGCATTAAAATAGCACATGGTAATTGCAACTGGCTATCATCATCAAAATGTAATAATAACAAAGAAACAAAAATTAAAAAAATACAAAGAACAAATACATATACAAGGGCAAGAACCTAAAATCATCTAGCTCATTTACACTAGCAGTTTAAGCAGAATATACAGGAACACCTGAGAAGCAAACATGAAAAAATCGCGCAACTAATTGGATTCAAAGAGCTTTTTATATCTAAATCTGAAGGTTGACATTAGAGCTTATTGATATTTGTGGGAAATTGGTTGTACAATCGACAAACATTATAAGATAAATACCTAGTTAAGATATGCGATTGGTGTCAAATACGGCCTCTAAACCTAACATTAACATTACGAACTTCTCTGCGAAACGTAATTTTATTGTACAGGTGCGGTGGTGTTTTCTAGGATATTATTATATGAAACCGAACAGCTGAATGCAGTTCTCGTCTCGCGTGCATGTTCAGCCATCCTGCATCAGGGAGCTTATGTGAGATAGACTCATACTTCCGCACTCCAAAAATAAATGTAAAACAGGACTTTTGCACCTTTTGTATGCAGTCACTGTCGAATATCCTCAAACAGCTCCCATAACTACATCACAAGAATTAAATAAAGATAAAACATGTGTATCACACGATAAGATTTTAAGGTTGGTGGCAACGATATGGCGGTGGGGATACAGCAATGTGAGCCTACCATAGCAGCGGCTAATACAGCTATCAATGTGTTTTGTAAATCTTACGGTACCGTCTGTCACGATACGAAATTTTGTGCAAAATTAAGGATAGTGTAGACAGTGTTTAGTACATAGTTTTGTATGAACAAATTTAGTGCTAAATTTTGTAGAACCTCTTAAATAATATCATACTAAAAGTGCGCAGACGACTACTGCGCATTTGTAGCAGAACAATGGCTGATATAACCTCAAACACTTTCATTAGTTGATGTTATAAGTTGTGTTCATCAGTTTCGCGAAACTCCCCTGCGTATGCTGGTCTACATATAGATTGAAAACTTAAAAGATGTCATGATCAAAAGAGCAGTGTGACATATATACTACAAAACGAGTCTGAGAAATATGGTTGTTTATATGCTGTAAAAAGCAAGGCCTATAAAAACAGAAAAGCCAAATAAGCTGCGTTGAATAAAATCAGAATTATTTAAGAACCAATTAGGCTTATAAGCCAGTTGGATCCTGCACCAGAAGTTCTTTATTCAGCATATAGAGCACACACATGCTCTGGTGCCTGTCCCTCATCCATTTTCGGCACCAAATTCTTTTATGGTTCTTTTACGGTTCCTTTTACTTTTCTCATGAGATCGGCAGCCACAACGCAGATCGCTGCTGCCGCAGTCGCATATAATATATGTTTGCGAATTACGGGATATTCTACAATTTTCTATTCGTTTAAAGCAAAAAGAATAAAGTAGCAACCGCAAAGGAATGTGTGGTTAGAATGACCTTGACGTGATAAATGGCAGTTAGAAGTTGACAGTTTTTTAAATCCCGTAGATTTCTGTGTGGAATTATCTGATTATCAATCGAAATTTCAAAAGTATCTTAAATATCATTTTTATGTTTACCAAATAAAAAAACGATGCACTTTGTCGGATTTAGTAATAGCTGGTGCAAAGTGCTCTCTTTGGCTAGATTACTGGGATTTTCATTAACTACATAACTTCGGCAGTCTTACCTCTTCGCACACTACAATCATGAGTTTATTAGTAAATCTATTTTTGTTAGTTTGCTTTCCGTTGTTTGTCCTATACGATACTAATAATTGCCAAACACTATGAAACAACGTTGTATACGGTTCATTTTTGTCTCAGAGACGAATAGCAAACATATCTAGAGATCTAGAGCATTACTTACCATTTGGAGCATTGTCAGTTTTGGTTTCCAAGGTGCTAATGTTTTCTGCCAGGATGGTCCGAAAGATGATAGGTAGTAATATGAGTACATCAAAATGTGGATAAAACTATTGACAACGATTGGAACTGACACCATTCCACCTACAAATACAAATAACATATTTTCTTTTTGTCATGGAAACAATAAGTTTTAATGTTGAAATCAATTTATCTCTGAATGTTTCAAGAACACTCTACCTCTAAAAAATATTTTCCGGCGGAATGTGCGCCTTCTTGATACCCTATGAGCAAACGAGCATTCGTACCAACCAGTTTTCAATGTATAGAGCTCGAAAAACATAGAATAAGTAGCAGATCCTTGGTTAAAATGTAAGCCACTGACTTTATATAGGGTGTCCGGTAAATAGTACGACAAAAAATAGGGAAGATAGGCGAAAGGCAGATTACAACATACTGAAAAATGACCGCTGTAAAAGTTACACTGTTTTTGAGATATTAATTTTTTGTCTTTTTCGAAAAATTTCCTAGTTTGATCTACATTTTGTTGCTGATTAAGCGGTTAATTTATCGCAGTACTTTGCAGTAGCAGTCTAGTACATTTTTATTTCATTGCTGAATACCACAGTTGAGTAAAATAGATTTCTAAAATGAAAATTATGAAGAAGAAATTGGTTTGTCAAGTGTACCTACTTGTATTTATCGAAAATGATATTTCAAATGGCAGACCAACTGTCTGAGAATATTTTGCAAGAAAAAACATGGTCCCTATTTTTTTGTCTCTTCATATCTCATTTCGTTGTCATTGAATCTGAATTCGGACAAGCTGAAACAAATGGCAACATTCACATACAGTTTTATAACAATTATTTTACATTAGACTGACGTGGGCCAGCGACTCTTGTTTTGTTAGATATACTAATAAAGACATTCATTATCCAGGATGCCGCCATCCGATGTGCCTGCCTGACAGACCCGTCTGACCTCAGCCTCTCATCCTAACAGAACTGGCCGATACGACCGCTCCTTTGTCCCTAGGGTTTCGAGATTGTGGATCAATCTACCTGAGGAGGCTTTTACCGGTTCTACTAACGTTAGGCAGTTCAAAAATCGGATAAAAGAAGGTTCTTTAAGACCCTACTAGCAAGCCTTAGGCTTCATCCTTCAAAAAAATATGTTTAGTAGTTATTGTGTATTACCTGCAACAAATCTGCATCCGATATACGTCAAACAAAATGTAGATGCGTGATGGTAGATATGAAGACCCGAAACTTGGTTGAACTTTTTCCTCAAACAAAAGAATACTGTTTCGATCAGTTCGACCATTTTCAGCAAATAAATGTAATAGAATGCCGTCGCCATCCGTATTGCTGTTGGTCTGTTTGAATAGTCAATTGGTTGACAACCGAGGCTTAATTCACCCTGGATCCATCCTGCGGTAGCTATCTGAAAAAAAAATCCGTTTGAGTAAAAAAGTTGAAATTTTTTTCTTCAGGCGCGGACGTTGAGATATCGTTGTTAAACAATATGGCAAGCAGAACACATTTTGAATCAAAGATCCTCCTGATAGGTGCTATTCTATCACAGCTAATGATATGCAGTGATTTTCAGAACCCCCCCCCCCCCTTCTAATTTTGTGAACGACTCGAGTTAGCTTTCTGATGAATGCTGTATTTCAACATAAAAATAACAGTTCATAATTCCAAAATAGCGGATGGATGCCATGTTGTAACATTTTTTCAAATGGAACGAGGGGTCACCTGATACTTTATTTTTTGAATCTCCATTCTTTATAACCCTAGGATATGAAATCACTATCGTTCAAAATGTCAGGCTATCAAAATTGAGCATTTTTGTATTGCCTATAACTCAGCAACTAACTATTAAAACCTTTGGTCTCAGTTGGGACAACGAAAGAAAACTGAACAACTATCTCTATCCGAATAAGGTCTATCGAAATAAGCCATGATGAGACGCCAAAGAGTTCGAAACTGTACTCGGACGGACGAAAGCTAAGAGGGGTACAAGAAATGAAATCGACGTACGAATGTCTTGAAAATTTTATTTTGCAATATAATCCCCACCTACATCAATGCCCTTGCGCCATTTCTGCTCAAGCGAACTTTATACCCTTATAAAAAATTGTTTTCTCTTGACTCTGAAACAAGTCATCGACGACTGCTTTTAGGCCACCAGCTAAGTTAAACGGATCCAAATCCGGGTTGGATTCTGTTGTTGTCTCAATGATGCAGCCAAGACCTGTTACAATGTGTGCCAAAACGTCAGAATCGTTGATCAAAATTTCTAAATGACTTTTCACATTACCAACCAGTGCGTTGAAACCCACCTTACTCATATTTAAATTGTCATGTAAGGTGGTGATTACGTCGGGTTCCGATAAATTCAATGCCATACTAATTGTAGGCTACCTTCACATGATGATCTCCGAGAACCGTGGCTTCAACTTTTTGAGTTATTCCGTCATTTGTTGCTGTTTTTCCACTTCTGGAATCGTCTTCTATGGATTCATGCCCCCATCAAAACGTTATTAAATGTGTGACGACAGTGATATACATATATGTTCAAATAAAGCGATCATAAAACTACCGCTTTCAAATTTTGGTGGATGTGTTATGTAAACAATCTGCACTTTCACCTTTATTTCAAAATGGAGGTCTACCTATATTCTTGTGACATCGGTTTCGTCCAAGTTTCTGCCAAAAAAGAGGTGTTGGCTTGGCCGGCTGTACTCGGATGTTTGTATTACTTCGTATTACAATTGCATTTAGTGCATTTTTTACCTAACATGAGAAATCATTATTAACCGCAACGCCCCATCACTTTTCTCTCGCTAAGTAAATAATGAATGTCATTTCAAATTATATTTTGTTATCATATCATTTTGACAAATAGACCTTCTCTTATGAAATATTTGAATACGAGTGAGAAATGGATGATATTAGGTATAACTCGATATCTAGCTACGAGGTCTGCAAGTTAAGAGATGAGATTTTTTTTTAAAATTTAATCCAAATATAATTACAGTTTGATATTGTCACCCTCAAAATAACTTCCTTTTGAAGCCACGCAGCGCTGGAGATGGTTCTTCCACTCCTCATAGCAGTGCTGGAACTCCGATACTGGCATAGCCTTCAGCTGGTCGGTTACACCCGTTTGAATATTTTTGACGGTCCCAAATCCTTGATAGTAAGGAAGAAGGAAAAAAGTCACAACGACTCAAGCCGGGCGAATAAGGCGGCTGAGGAGAAACAGGAATGTTTTTACATGCCAAAAACTCGTTTATTGACATAGCTGTGTGACAAGGGGCTATATCGTAATGCATCACCCAGTTCTTCTTGATCTGATGGTGTTGTGCGTCAAATTCAACTCTTCTTCCATCAATCCAACTTGTACTGAAGGCGGATCACATGTTCCCTTGCTCCCCCTCCAAGTCCGGCATCTCCAATGTTGCCAGATCGAACGCTACGTTGCCAGTCTCATCACTCAATTTACAGACCTCGTATCATTGAATAACTCTACAATCGGAATAATAAAACTACCTTTAGCAAAATGCAAATACTGCCAAACAATTTTAGCACATTACTTCCATTGAAAATGGTAATGGACTAGTCCAAATCGCCCAAATCTGATTTCTGTGACATTAGACTTTGAACTTGTCAACCGGTCAACAGGCAACTAGATACTTCAGTGAAATATTTCAATGAAAAAGTCTATTGTTGATTTCACAAATCGTATATAAAACTGCTAGCTCACTCCACATTTTAGGTATGTACTTCACAAGTTATCAGAGGAAAGGATTTGGATTCAATAGTTTATGGTAATAATAATAATAATAATAATATTTATTCGCCAAAATACAAAAAATGGATAGATTGGATACATTGGATACATTCCGTTTGTGATGCCCCAGTTTAAGTGCGAAAATCGGAATAGTCAAAGTGCGTTCACTGAAAAATTCTTATTTGTAACTCCTCAGCTAGATCAAATTACAACTACCATTAAGAGTTGTATAGGATTAAATAATTAAATAACTCTTTACCACATCAAACTTAAGCTTCGTAATCTCGTAGATACTATCATAATACGAAACATACTTACCAAGTATATGATGTAAATGCAAGAGAGTATCTGAAAAATGTTGTAGTATCTGATGATTTTCGTTAGTTTGTAGGGTTTCCTATTTTTCATGAATGCAGGAAGTATGACTAATACTGTGAGCAAGTACAATGCAGATATCACTGCGGTAGGTAGGGGGCTGTCCATCAGGGTCCAGTTCTGTACTCTAGGATCTGGAAAGAAAATTACCCTAGAACGATTTTACAAAATAAACTGATTTTTCGTTAAAGCAAGACGGGATAGTGGGAGATCGTCGGGCACGCAACCATACACAACTGGCTTAGCAGAATCGAAACCCGTCTATACTATACTTGTTTCTGTAGGAAATGATTAAATGCAACTTTCTAACCAATGTAATTTAGGTTCATCAGCCCGAAAAACCTTAATTACATTAGAATTAGGCGTGAAAGCCCAATTTCTAACCAATGTTCTTAAAAACTGAACGATTTTGTCTCCTGCATGATGAAACCACATTTTTAAGAAATACTGCTGACGTTTCGGCTGCATCGATGGCCATGTTTGCACCTTATGTAGCCAAACGTTTATATGGAGCATAGTTGCTCGTTTACACCATGTGCTATGCGTACATGGTGTAAACGAACACAGAACAACACTTACGCACAGAAAGGTGGTGCTCTATGGCTATCTAAGCGCATGGCTATCTACGGTGTAAAATCATGTGGCCTTTTTCAAAGTACAACGTGCAAAAATGAATTCAATTGAAATTCGCTTTTATATATTGATATCTAATGTTAAAACTAATTAATTTATTTTGCCGTTGTAGTTTAAAAAGTATCGGAGGATATTAATAAGCGGCCCATTAGTTTACTTTTTTACAGTTACATTTTAAAGCAGTTATAAACGACTAGTTTCTTTGGTATTTCTCTAAATATTTTTTTATAACATACTGGAAGATGTGGCAAACGCGACGATTTTGTGACAGTGACTTAATACCTTTTGGAGTATATATGACCAGCTCCTTTCAATATTTCAATTAAATCTATTTCTTATGAAATATAATAAAAGGGCTATAGATTGTATTGAAAGGGAGAATTAAGCCTGGAAGATCATCTCATTAATTACAAAAACTTTTTTATCTTTCAAACAAAAATGTGTTCATTTTGACTTAGTAGCGATCGTTATTTCAATGAATTCTTTTAAGAGTCACTTGATCCAAACTTTTTAAAATTCCCTTTACCCCCACCCCCTAAATAATGAAATTCCATCATCACTCCAATCTTGCGAAACATAAATCTGGGCTTTTCTTTCCTGAAAAAAAAAGTCCTCCCCCTCAAGATGGAGCGAATCAAATCGAATTATCGAGAGTCATTTAAAAATTAATAAAAAAGCACTTACCCGCTGACTTCCTCATAAAATCTTCGTAATACCTAACAATAGCTGCCATCTTGATTGAAACTTCACTAACACTAATCACAAGAAGCACACTTCACTGCTGATTTTTCAGTACTCTTAAGTATATTTTTTAATTAATTTTGTGAGCACCCCCTGCCATAACCCGTAGAACCAGAGTAGCACTGGATGTTAAGCTTGGTGGTAAGCTGAATAAATACGACATTCACTTGTCATCATATGTCAAAGTTCATTGGTTGTATGGTAATACATATTACAGGTATGTTTTATGGTAATAAAAGCAAATATTTTGCAATTTTAACATTACCTTCCCTTTTAGCGAATGTTAGCTTCTCTAACAACGAGTAGATTTTAGATCAGTATTGCAATAGATAATAGTAAATCATGAAGATTTTCCAACTGGTTACTCCAACTAAGATTTGAGTGTCTCTAATCCATACAGTTCGTTTGTGGATTTACTGCGAAGCATCCGCGGAGACAGAAACCGAAATGCCACGGCACCTGGATGTTCGAAGTTCGATACGGTTAGGATCGGAGGCGTAAGTCACAGGCTCTGATGAGCTAAGCCCGATGGTGGAGCTAGATTACCGACGGTCCGCCGGTGCGAAAGGGCCCTGAGACTGTCCGTTAGAAAAAAGTTATCTATCAGTGGGACAGCCCTACTCTAACCAGCATCGAGCATGGTTAATGTAGTCGGGACGTCAGCATCCCAAACATGTGAGCAATACTCGAGGCTAGGTCATATACAGGCTTGTACAGAGTGAGGAGATCATGTGGAGAAAAGTACCTATTAGCCCTAAACAAATAGCCTAGCTTTTTCCCAGCAGCGTCCTCGGTGATCTGGACTCCGACCAGCCGAAATGAACGGCTTGGTAGGACTGGGTCATGCATCGAAACCTGATGAAGGTACAGTACTGTGTTTTAGAGGTATTAAACTGTACAAGATTGTCTCACCCCCAAGCAGTGATAACCTTCAGGTCTCGACAGAGAGCTCGTCGCTGCTAGTCTTCTATTCTCCAGCTCACTGGCAGAAATCGACTTGTGACTCCGACTTCCTGCGTGAAGAGTGCTGTCATCAGCAAAGCTTGATCATTGATACAGAAAAGGAGATATTTGATATGTAAGAGGTGCAATGTCGGATCCCTGGGGAACACCCGCGTTGATGTTGTGGGATGAAGAAGAGAACCCGTCAGTTACAACCAAAATCATTGGGTAGATAGGTTAAGGGCCAATTTCACCAACATTAATATTATGGACCAATGGGAAAATACCTTATCGAAATGCAATTTGACAGAAGCTGTCAACGGTCTCAGAATATCAGTGATTTCTATTAAAAAATTGAATAAAATCGTCAAAATTCGACTGTATTATAAACAAGACTACTTCCTGATTCCAACATGATGCTTTTGTACAGAGAAAACATATCAACTTTCATGTATTTTGATTTGTGTTATAAATTTACATTTAACAATCAGTTATCCCCAAAAGCCAATCGGAATGCGGTCGATTTTCTAGTTGTTGAATTTGGCAGCAGATTTGGACGTTTGTTAATGCATGGCAATCTCGAATTTAAGTTCAATATACTGTTATCATTACATACCTGTTGAATAGTGTGGACTTGTCTGTATTTTGCAAGAAAATAGAATATAAAATACATTCCATACAATTCCTCATCTTCCTTTACATCTTAATAGTAATCATTTATTAATTTACGGGTTGATGAATTTCTTCAAAGCAATAAAAACATTGTCCTCTCCATCCTAAAACACAGATAATATGTGTAAGACGTGTCAATCCCTACATCTCCGTGATGCATAATGCAATTACTATGGACATAGACAAAAAATTATGAAAAATATCTCACAAATAATGTCTTTTAAGTCCAAAAATCATAAAAACTATTAATTTTTATTCACTTCTTGAAGAATATTTGAAAAATGTGAACACCGCCAGGGTCTGTTGTCAAATTGCAAATGAAGTATCTGAACATTCTTACATACAGTGGACCTTCATCATAGTTTACTATCCTGAGTATGATCATTTTTAGCAGATGTTTTGTATCATCAAATTGATGAACAAATATAAGAAAGCTATTATATACCTACATACAGAGGATTTTTCATGTAAATTCACTAGGTATCATGATTATAAGCATCTTTGGTGGATTGTTCGATCCGGAATGGGAAAGATCTCCTATTTATGAAAATATTTTTGGTATCATCTAACCGTTACAATCAGTGCACAAAAACTGTGACATAAGATTTATAGCATAACCCGCTACCCTATCAATACAAATTTAACATACAGGTCGCGTAGCCGTGGGGATGCAGTGGTCGAGATGAATATCACGGCAGCTACTGATGATTTGGGCATGTCTGGTGACAACGTATGAAGTGAAACTCGCTAACTTCACAAATTTGAAGATTTTGTAGAATTTCTTTGAAAATGATGAAAGATATGTCTGATTTGGCAGGGTAATATCGCAGCCAAATGGCAGTCACTCTTTCTGACACAGTCCGGATCGAAAGATGACGATACTCGTGACATGTATTGATACTTCTAAATGTAGGATCGTATCGAACATCCCTACTGTCAAGATGTATAACCCAAGGTACCGACGGAGCTATTTTGCGGGGTCATGGAAATAATTTTAAATTTTCATTTCCATTTTTTCCAGTGTTGTACAATGATTTTGGGAAAAATGTCACGAATAGTCTTATAAAGCATAGTAGAGTATATTTCAACAGTTGGCGGAACTTACTCCACTGGGACCAGGAGGGTGAAACGGGATATTAATGCACAATCTGGCAACCCTGTCGCACCCTCACAAAATGGCCGCTGACAACCACACAAGTCACCGGTTGTCATTGAATAGCATGGAATTAAACCTTCAGAGCATATGTTTTGTGACTGGTACCATGAGTTGACAGATGCCTCACACGTGTCACTCCTTGAAACGCAATAATCAGCTGTGTTCAAATAATGTCTAATATAAATATAACCTAGAATGTGTACTCGTGAAAAAAGAAAAATATGGTAAATTTTTAGTTGTTTTGCAGGTTTTAGGTTGGCTGGTAGCTTTAAGGCATATATTTGGGAATTTTTTAATCGCTGTGAATATAGTGTGGATGTTTGTTCAGTTCCTGAACAACTAAAAATATTTAACTTTATGGATGTATGGATATCAAAAAACCTGAATGGTTTTGTGGGAATATCAATCTAAGGTGCCATAATGTAATTTCTTAATATTCATTAAGCTGGTGATGTTTCAATGACAAGCTGTCATCTCACACTTTGACAGTATTTTGTTTTCAATATTTCATAACTATTGGTTGCTGAAATTTGTTGATTGGAACTTGAAGCTCATTCGTTGTATTTGACGGTCTGTTACCGTATAGGTGGAGAATAACAGACTGTTGTTGGTGAAATTGGCCCTTAATGTGCTTCATTTCACTGGTGCATTAAAATCTTTCGAGGTTGACATGGAACTCACCTAGCTGGGATCTATCGGACATTGAGCACAGAATAAATATGGCTATAGATATGGAGCTCAAAGTCCTGATTTTTTCCATGTTTCTGTACGGAGCTGAAACCTGGGTACTCCGAAAAGCTGAAAGAAACATAATATGCTTCTGGGTCTGGATGCTTCGTATTCCATGGACAGTGCACAGAACGAATGAATATATTATAGAAGAGTAAAAAATTAAATCAAGATTATCTACCATATGCTTAAGATAAATCTTAGAGCTCTTTGGATATTCGGATATATAGCTGGAGGTTAATCATATCCGGAGATATTCAGGGAAAAAGAAGATGAGGGGAACCGCCAGTGAGATGGTCGGATCAAATTCAGCAGGCATTGAACACAACTTTCTATGGAGGCTGAAGCATTGCTAAAGATAGAGGCCATTGGAGAGACGTGGTCAACCGTGTGTGAGGAAAGGACTGAGCGATTAGATAAGAGAAGAGTCGAAGGTTAGGTTGAAAAACGCTAATCTTAGCGACACTTCGCCTTTTTTGCACTTTTACTTAGGTACGAAATAAAGCCCATTTATTATTATTATTATTATAAATCACTGAGGGAGCTGGGCTAGCCTGATTCACAGGTGGATTCCGACCAAAACACGGTTCTGGTTTTTCAACAATTTGACATTGTATTCCAGCGGGTCAATTCTTGAACCGAGGGAGCAGAATAACTAATAGAAAGTGACCCTGGTTGTATTACCTTTCGGAGAACTGTATTTCAGAACACTTTTTCGGGACGAAAAGACTGGAAGTTCGTCGGCCTCACCCCAAAAACAAACTTAACTTTGTGATGGAAGGTTGAACGATATAAAGAAAATATATGCATTCACAAAATCTAAGGGATATGGCATAACGTTTTTGGTCACGGTGTAGTCCAAGGTTTTTTTATCGTACAAATCTGTCCAAGTGACATGTATTTATGTTTAGCTTAGTTAATAACTTAGCTGGCTTTTACACTATTTTGATCGTTATTTTGTGTGTTCTGTTGAAAATAAATGTGGTGCCATGTGCTTTGATGGTTTACGTAGCTGATCCGCTGTGGATCTCAAGATGGAAGATTTTCTTAGTTGCAATTTGCTACTAATGTATACAGATTGTAAAACTTAAATCCTGTATCAGTATGATACAAATGTGTCATATTCAGCTGCGCCCCCTGATGCCGTTTTGCATTGGTATGTCGAAAATAATCCTTTAATAATCATTCTTCTTAAGGCAAATGTACGGGGAAATGTATAGTACGGTGTGTGAAGTGTGTCTAATAGGTGCGTAGAATTACTGGGGCTCGGAGTATATAGATATACTAACATAAACAATTGAGGGCCTCCCAATTTTCAACCCCAACAAAATTTCTGAAAGTGATCAGGAGCTTCTGATGCGCAAAAGAAGTTTGATCGACTTTTATTCCATGTTTTCGTGTTGTTGCCTTTAGCTCCGCTGCCACTGGGCCGATTTTCGAAAGACTCGCTTTTTCGTCCATAGCAGTAGTAATTTGTGTGAAAATTTCATCAAAATGCTAGTTAAAGACGGGCCATGGTTTAGCGGACAGACAGAGGGATCGACGCAAATAAGTGACATGGTTTTTCGTAATGAACATGTCATGTAATATCCAAAAAACATCTCATTTTCGAAAATTTTCGCGATTACAGTACTTCCTTGCCAGTAGGCGCGAGGAGTAAAATGAAATTATGTTGTGGTGTTGTGGTAGATTTCATTTGTGAAATATGTTACTTATACGCATTTTTCGGTTAAAGTTTTGAGAATTAAAATCATTATTATCGTTATCATCGTTATTATCGTTATCGTCGTTATTATCTTTATTATCGCTATTATCGTTATTATCGCTATTATCGGTATTATCGTTGTTTTCGGTAGCGTTGTCGTTATTATCGTTAAAATCTTTATCATCGTTATTATCATTATTATCTATTATGGTTACTGGTTTCAAAAAGACCATTCGCAGCAAAAAGGGCACATTTTGCTTTGGCCAATAAAGGTGACCACTTGATCAATGCTATATTAAAAAACTAGTCCCAGTATATTCCGCATTCTTGCTAACAAGTACATACTTAGTGACTTTTTTCACAACCTCAAAATTAATCGAAATTAGAATGATCAGGCTATCTTGGTATTTGGAAAAAGGCCAGTCTTGGAGTTTAGTGCCTATACGCCGGTGATCATTGTATTGGATTGGCTGTTCCCTTTTTATCTATCCCTTCATTTCAGACACAGAAATTATTCAGCAACGCATCGTGCGTTGTTTAGGAACGTGCTTGTAATTAGAACAATGCATCAAAATAACAGGCATCGAAATATGAATGAATAATCAATCGATTCTATCCTAAAATTCCATCAATACCCGCATTTTTCTATACGTCATGGTCAACGTACGGACAAATTTTGTACGCGCATTACCATTGTACCGCAAATGATTTGGTTATTATCATTCTTTCCATGCGTGATGTGGAAAGGTATTGAAAATATAGATGGTGAGCGATTCCACTTAGGGACCTTTCTCACCGAAAGTAACTAGCAACACTTACAAAGTGTTACGTCCGTCGATAGAATATGGTCACCACGATTACCACTGTACAAAGGTGGTAATTTCGGTTATTGCCATTTGCAACCATTTTTTGTGTTCTAAAATCTTTGGCAAATAAATATACACTGTGAATTAGTACTTTTATTCCATCACATTGTAAAATAACCACTGCAGTGACAATATTCAGGAAATCGATCTATTATCTATAATATAAACTACATATCAGGATTATCTACTTCTACATACGCGGAATAAGTGGCTTAAAAACTTGATTGATGTAACTTTGCAAGGAATAGTTGACAGATAAAATGTCACAATTCTACTGTTCTACTCGTTCAGGATTCCATGCACCACTATGGCCCGACTTCACTAGCAGAAGCACAAAATTTGCGCCTATGGCACAAAGTGCAGCAATGAGAAAGCGTTTTTGAAGCATATATCTCAAATTAAAGATTAATTATACAATTATTCTAAGATGGGCCCCTAATTTCCATATTAAATCAAGAAATGCTCCATATATCATGTGGTTTAACTACAAAAACCTATTTTTCGATCGGACACAAAATTTGCGACCTGGACGCATATTCGGTCAATCAAAAAGAAAGATTTGCGATATAGTCGCGAATTTGACCAATCAAAAGAAGGTTTTGTGTCCTGCTCGAAACATCCCAACTAACAATTATCACTCCTATTAGAGTTGCAAGAATGATTATACAGTATTCCTTACACAGCATTGTATACTGTAAGAACATTGGCAAAACACTCTTAGATCAGCTATACAAGCGGAATGGGCACACCTAATAGGATACTTCAGTCATTTAAGGGGTTGTATAAGGGTGCAGGTAACAGTTATACAACAAAAGTGTAAGCCTCGTGCAGCCGCTATAGGACATTTGCGTCAGTGCAAGATTCAGTTTTTGTCAACTATACAACTGTTACGTGATTCTACTTTATTGAAACCAAACTATTTCTTATGTATTGTATAGACGAAGTGAAGAATATATAACACATTACAGTCATCTTGTTTACTTACATATCGGCCATTGTGAATTTCATCCACAGGTATATGATAAACTTTGATATAGGGCTACTGAATTACTTGCGCAGCAAATTTTATTGTGTGTTTTTTTTATATTTTGCATATATTTGTATTGTTTTGTGACTGACGAATCATATACATTATTTTTAATGTCGATTGAATAAAATAAATAAAATATTCTAGATTGATGAATGAACTAGCTACCTAGTGCATAAGTTGACATTTCACCAATGTTTTGACATATGTGTACGTGATTCTACTTTATTGAAACCAAACTATTTCTTATTATTGTATAGACGAAGTGAAGAATATATAACACATTACAGTCATCTTGTTTACTTACATATCGGCCATTGTGAATTTCATCCACAGGTATATGATAAACTTTGATATAGGGCTACTGAATTACTTGCGCAGCAAATTTTATTGTGATCATCTTGCAAAGTATATAGTTACGCAATTTCTACGGGCTTCGTATTTGATTCATATTTTAATAATGATCAACAGTATGTCTAGATTTTTAAGATGGAAAACTGAACTTAGCTGCGTTAAATCTTCCACAAATCCTATATTTATACACAATTACACTAATGTTTATCACTTTATATCTGTTATTTCGAACTGAAACATAATTATTTAATATTAAATAGAGGAATAAATGTTGCCCAATATGGCGGGTGGTTGTGTATAACCATGGCATCGTCCATGTCGTCTTTAGTTTATTAGAATATTTTGGTGTTGCCTGCAGGTGTTATACAACAATTTGACAAATGTCTGAAATATAATACCGACAGAGTCGAATGATTTACCTAGAATTTGTACCAGATCTATATCTGCTTGAACAGTTACTAAAACTGTTTGAACCAATAAGCATGAGGTGTTTGTCTTAAAACGTTGGTTATGGCATTTTAACAAAAATATGACAGCAGAAAGTTAGGTTATGGTGAAGTTGTATACCAACATATTTAGCAACAAATGTATGCCGAGCACAGCAATTTTGTACTACAAAAGTTGTAATATTGTTGCATATGTACAGCCTTTAACAGTTACTAAACAACAGTTGTATAAGTGCTTCCGTTGGGAGCAATTTGTTGGCTAAAGTAGTAAATTTGCACAGCAATACAACAATGCTCGGGTTTGTTTTATAAACGTTACCATGGATGTCACAACACAACCATTTTGACTAACGTGCAAGTATGCCGTATAAAATAGTTGTATAAACGTTTATGCAACAGTTAAAAATTTGTCATATAAGGTGTTCTATAACTATGCTATAAGAATCTTTTAAACACCCCATTTTAGAGCAAATATGTTGCAGAAAGCAAATTTGCATTCCACACAACATTAAGCCAGCATTTTCGTGTTCAGGCAACAACAATAGAGAGCTTTTATGGCTGAACGGTTCTTTCACCAAAAGCTTATAGCACTACTTTGCTAGTTGCGATGGATCGCACGTGATACAATTACCGAATGATCGTAAAAGGTTGAGTGTATTTAAGGTGAAGTTGATTTTGTTGTTAAAGCTGTGTATTCTGTGGATGATTTTGTATGTACAAGGTCTGTCGCAAGGTAAGCAGGACTTTTGGAAGATATCCGATACACGTAGTGCCATCTATTGTCGGAGACTAGCGTTGGATAGGTACATATTTCGTTGGTGCCCTGTCAAAATTTCATGACAATCGAATCACTTCACGCGGAGTTACAGAAATGGAATTAAATATCTCTAAAAATTCAATCCATCGCATTTTGACCAAGAATTTTGGCATGAAAAAGGTGCGTTCACGGTTTGTTCCGGACAAGCTCACGGATGACCAAAAATTGCCAAAAAAGACAAACACTTTCTGTTCAACATTGTGACTCGTGACGAAACGAGCCAAACAAAAAAAAGTCCATAGTGAAGACAATGTTGTTATCTCTACGATTCGAAGGGAATTATTCGTTCCACCTTCCACCACCGTTTTGAAGCACATCCCGGTCAATGAGCTAAAATCATCATTCGAAAATCGTTTGGTCCGTTCAAATCGCAGTATTAACTCTGAAGGAGACTATTTTGAATAAAATAAATATATATTCTGAAACAAAAAATGTTAATGTTTTTCTTTGTCCTGTTTACTTTGCGACAGGCCTTGTATATAAATGCATGTTTTCGAATCATATTTTTAAATCTGTTGATGTAATTTTTGTTTTTTTTTTTTATATTTTGCATATATTTGTATTCTTTTGTGACTGACGAATCATATACATTATTATTAATGTCGATTGAATAAAATAAATAAAATATTCTAGATTGATGAATGAACTAGCGGCTACCTAGTGCACAACTTCACATTTCACCAATGTTTCGACATATATGTATTCTACGTAATAACCCTGCGGGTAATATATGAAGGATTTATTGATTTAATATGGAAACTAAGCTCCCATCTTACACAAATCTATAATGTTTCTCTAATTTGAAAGATATTTTACAAATAACCGTCCAAGTTCATTAGATCAATTACTTCAAAAACGCCTTTTTTCGAATTTGTAAAACAGGCACAAATTTTGATTCCAAAGGGCCAGTAGTAAAATCGGACCTAAAGACCCATGACACGTATCAGAAAACATGTCAGACTGTCATTCTACGATCTGTGGCCAAACCTAACTCACTTTGTGGGTTACTTCACGTTATAGATTTGACTAGAAATTTTCCGTTTCATTTCAGTTTTCTCATTTTTCTTCCATAGAAAGGAGTGAAAACATGCAGATCTTGCTTTTTCGATGTAAAATATTGATGACCCGTTGGAAAAGATTTAAGGCGTACTCCGTTGTATTTATAAGCCATATAATTTGCCGCCTGTAACAAACATGAACGTTTAGCGGTGCATGAGACTTCTGACTTGTCGCGAATCTGATAAACATACAAAAATCTCGACTATCTATTATAGTACAATGTTCGTATTTTCGAGTTTGTCTTAAATTCAGGTCACTATTCCCCTTGTTTTATGCTTCACACAGCCTTTTCGTTGTCCAACAACACAATAAAAACTACTGGAACACAACATACTGGTCGATGGAAAACTCAATTGACCTTCGCTAATTTGCTCTTGTAGCTTCGCTTGTAGAAATCGTAGAACATTTTGTAGAGCAAGAGGACGTTGGGCAAGTATAAGGCGAAGAAGGGCTTCGGTACTTTGCAACCTGGCTGGAAGGCTGTTGTCGAATGTACCAGCATCAAGGTGAACTGAATCTGCAACAAAAATATAGTCGAACTAATTGGAATTACCTACGCATGTTACGGTCAAAACTAGGTTCAGCTGGTTAGAACTAGGTGGAGCAACAAGCAGTTGGCTAGCCTTAGGTGAAGCGTATGGATTCATAGCTAAATCTAATATAAGAAAACTAGATCAAGTCAACCTAATACCGGCTACAACTACGTCTAGCCAATCTTTAGCCCCCGTTTTTTAATTGCAAGTCAACTTTCTGGTTAGTTAACCACAACCAGGAAGTTAACTTGTGCTTGCAAATGCGTTTTTCTATGCAACATTTTTTTCCTCGGTACTTGATATGATGATATTGTTTCAAGGAAATATAGGTATTTCAATTGAGAAATGGATCTCAGAAATATCTCAGTCATCATCAATTCAAGATAGTTACTGTTGAACCAAAAGTTTTTTTAGTGTCGCAAAAACAAATTTTTCGGTAAATTTGACCATTTCATTATAATTGCATTTAAAATGAAAGTGCTGATATACTATAAATAACACCAGTTTAATTTTAGTACCAGTTAAAAATGTTCATCAGTCAGCCAACGTTTTGGACTAATTGACAACGCGATAAAACTAGAGTCTTTCATACTACAGGGTGTCAAAATGAAACGTCAAAATGGTTTTTCTTTAAAATTCAAACTTTAGAATAATTTTCATGTTGGTTCCTATCCATCTTAAGTAAAAAGTGATGCTAAAAAATGATGCTGTTCGGACTAAAATTCGCAATTTAAAAGTGTTTTTGAAACAAACCTCTACCAAATAAAGTTAATATTTATAGAAATGGTACGAAGTGCTGAATGCTTACATAGTTTTCAAAAAAAGAAAAAAACGCTGAAGATCCCGAAAACTATAAAATATAAAAAAATAAAATAATAATAATTTATTTCATTGTTGAATGGAACAGAAAATTCTATAACAAATGAAAAGGTCATGAGAATAGTGGTGACGAGTTGAAAAAGTATACAAAACATAGATCTAAACAAAAAACTCCTCCAAGGTGTAGAAACATTTTAGTTTTCTTTTGAAAACAGCTATATTTGATTTGTTCCTAATATCATCATTGAGCTTATTAAAAATCTTACATCCCATATGCCTGCATGTTTTTTGGTATGCCGTAGTTCGATGTCTCGGCGGGATTAAAAACATCTTAGACCTAGTTGGATATTCATGCTGGTGTTTGATGACTTCAAATTTGCGCTTATTTTTGAAAACAAACAAAGCCAACTCATAAATGTAAATACCTATAACAGTCAACATCTTTAGTGTTCTAAAGGATTCTCTACAGGATTGGCGCCAACCAAGGTTATCAATAATTCTAATGGCATATTTTTGCAACAGGAGAACTCTTACAGTTAGTGAACTACTTCCCCAATTGAGAATACGATACCGGCTATGACAGTTGACAGTGGCATAGTATAAAGTTTTTAAAATTCGTTTACTGCACTGCTTTGCTAAGAATTTCAAGCCATAGCAACTCCTTCGCAATCTATTGCACAAACACTCAACGTGGAACCCCCACGACATTCGACAATCAAGTATCATCCCCAGCATGTTAACAGAATTAGATGATGGAATAGCTCTGTTAGTATGATCAAAAACAAATTTTTTACATATAGTAGACCAACGGCTGGAACTATTCGCGATTGCTGGATTATCCTTTATTTTCTGGACACCCAAACATCTAGAATATTTCATCTAAACATTTTGATGTCATCATGCTTGAAGGTATAAATATTTCATGCTCGTCAAAGTACCACAGACGACCAACCATGGACAGCTGTTTCGTACTTTTTGCCAACTCCTCAGTATGGACTAGGCTTTTTCTTAGGTAGGACAACGACCGACAGCTGAGGAAGTGTTCTCTATCTAGGATATACGGAATATCGAAATAAGGCAGCACAAATAGGAGTTGCCAAAAAGCGCGAAACACATGTCCATGTAGTTTTGTTCAGTGCGAGTAGACCATATCTACTATACCACCAGACAATAGATGGCACTTTGTGGTGTCAAAATAGGTAGGCAGCGCAGTTTTCCATCCTTTTCTTGCATGGACTGAGCTCGAAAAGTGTTGCGTGTCTTCCAAACATTAGTACTTACCATTTGCGCGATAGTTAGCTTTGGTTTCCAAACAGTTAGTCTCTTCTGCCAGTGAGGTCCCAAAGATGACAGGTAGTAGTACGTATACATCATCACGTGGATAAAAAGGTTCATCATTACAGGAATGGAGAACATACCACCTAAAAGTAATAAACCTGATTGAAAAATCTTTATCCAGTATCATATAAAATCAGTTGACCACCATTGATTGGTATTTATCCAATACCAGTCAGGTTTTATTATCGGCTGAGCTAAGCAATTCGTCAGAATATATCAACATAAAAAAATATTACTTTTAAGGGTTGATTATAAAAGTGAAATATGATGTCAATTTCAAAAGATGTCCTTTTATATTTTTATATCGAAAATGAGGTATTATATTGTATCAATGTTACATGACATGCAGCGGTGATGTAAGAATCGCTTTGTCACTCTCTTCCGTTTTGGTACCAGACTATAAACCGCAACGTTGTCAAATGGATGGGGACGGGCGACTAATTGTTTGACTGACTGGATCCATTTAATTCATATCTTATACGTATCCGTAGTTGACTTTTTTTCTTAGAGGGGCTAACTTGTACCGAACATAATCTATTATCTTGTTCTTATCTTTTACTTCTCACGCCTGATGCTGAGGAAGTATTGTAATCGCAAAAATTTTCGAAAATGAGATATTTTGTTTTTTCGATGTTATCTGAGATGTACAACACGAAAAACCGTGTCACTCATTTCCGTCGGTCTGTCTGTCTGTCTGTCGGTATGTCTGCCTATCGGTCTGACTGTCGGTTTGTCTGTCTGTCGATCTGTCCATCTATCGGTCTATTTGTCTGTCGGTCTGTCTTAGTAATTTTTGAAAATCGCTCTATTGGCATCAGAGAGAAAGGCCAATGCCAAAAAAAAAACAGAAATAGCTCAAACTTCGTTGTTTGGCGTTTCCGAAGCTCCTGATCATTTCTGAAAAAAAATTAGGGGTACAAAATCGGGGGAAGAGGAGTTGTTCGGAGGTATGGAAGGGTTATAATTTTTGTTATTTTAGTATATTTATACGCTCCCAACCTAGTTGGATCTACGCACCTTAGACCTTTCGCGCATCACAATTTTTCCTAAGTTTGTTCTTAAAACAGCGTGATAATAGAAATGCTATGTTATAGAAGTTCATGACTAACCGTTTTCTCAAAGATCAGAGGGTCTCACTTGTGCTCAACACAATCTTTATGAACTGACAACGGCGTTGCGTGGGAAATAGCGAGTCAACCTACTTGACGTCATTTTTTAAAGCATCATTATTTGACAATTTGATGAAAATCCAATTAATATAGGTGATATTCGAATACTCTTGATTGTAAATTTTTTGCAAACAAAAACTGACAATTATTATTACTAACTTCAAACCTTGAGATATATTATCGTTAAACGATCCTACTTAATAAAGCAAAATGACAATCCTACTTTACCTCCAATAAATTTGCAGCCAATATACGCAATGAAAAGGCTAGACACATGATGGTAGATGTGCAATGCGGATACTTGGTTGAATTTCTTCCTAAGTACAAAGAATATGGTTTCGACCAGCTCAACTTGTTTCAACACATAGACCCACCAGAATGCGTTGACCAGCTGAATTGCTTTCGGGTTGTTCGAGTAGTCGATCGGTTGACAACCTAAGCTGTAGTCCCCTTGTAGCCATCCGGCACTGCTAAGCTGAAACGTTAAAAACTTTTCATTTACTGCTGTACACAAAACAGAGGTTACCCAAGCCTCATTTACTCAACGTCAAAACAAACATGAACATTCGATCGTCACTAATAGTCACTTGTCGCTGCCTGCCCAGGCATTCATGGTCATCGCGCGCTAATGTTTATTTTGAAGGGGGTAAATGAGATTTGAATTACAGTAACAATAAAAACAATTGCTTAGACTGCTATCAGCTAGGCAAGGCACTTTTGCTGGAAAGGAAAATGTTATGTGAAGGATGATTCACACTTTTTTGATCAAATTTCTTCAGTAACTTATCGAAAAAATGTGCTACTGTCCATCCAATGTATCAAATTAATGTTTCGAGAATTTTGAGTTGTTTTCACGGTACCAGCATACATATTGATATAACCAATAGAAAAATGTCGAAAATGTTACATCCATGTCTTCTGCCAGTTCCGCCTATGTTACTTTAGCTACATGAAAACCCTAAAAAGCCTCATATTTACAAAAAGTAACATCTTCTGTTTTATGTACAAAGATTAAAATTTTAACTAAACAGTGTAGCCATCCAACATTGATGAAGGAACAGGTCACTATGTTTTTAGGCTTATGTACAATGTAATGTTCACGCCCTTATTCTCTCGATTTGGCACCCTCACACTTCTGTCTCCAGATTTGAAAAAAATCCTCTCTGGAAGGCGCGTTGGATCCAATGAGCAAGTTTAGTGGGATGCACGTAAATATTTTGACAGCATTCCAGACTTCCACCGAGAATGAATCCTAATATTGGAGACACGTGTTGAAATCCAAGACGATTATGTAAAACAATCAAGTAAAATGACTACACTTTCCACGCAACTCCATCATCAAATGATAAAGGATTATGTCGAACACAAGATAGACGCTAAACGGATCAAGTCAGTCAAATCTGTCTAATGGGTGTGTAGAATTACGTTACCCCTACCTCTTACAACCCCAAACCCATATCTTTTTCCGGAAGTAACCAGGCTTCTGAAATGTCAAAAAGCGAAGCGTGTATGATTTTTATTTTTTATTTTCATGTTTTCACCCCTAGCTCCCCTGCCACGGGGCCGAATATAGTATTTACCAAATTATGAACAGGCCAAGGATTAGCGGACAGACTGATTGGGAAACAGACAAACTGACGGAAATGGATATTATTTTTCGCGATAACAATAACTACAAGTAAAAGGAAATAATGTTTAACTAAAACTTCCATCTCTCATTGTCAGACCGAGAACTGTTCACCCTACCCTCGTACATGAAGGAAGCATATGACTTTCCTGTGTCGAAAGAACTTGTTTAAGTTCTGCAGGAAATAAATTTGATTCAATAAAGTTAAATATGTTCTCAAGCATTACTTATTAGAGTATTGTCACAGCTGAGGCCAGATTTACCTAAATCCTATTACCATAACAATTAACAACGAGTTGCAACACGTAACCGTGTCATCTAATCTAAATTCAATTTACTGAATTGAACACGACAATACAATGATCTGTTAATGGGCTCATTGAACTTAGCCATCAAAATCGTAAGACATGGAAAAAAAATGTCGATATTCGTGAAAAATAGACTGTTTTTATTGTGCCATTAAAAATACTATTAGTTTTTATTTCACATATTACACCTCGACCTGAGATACTCAATGGAAACACAGATTTCAAATATCTTGGAATAACAAGACTTTAGCAGAGCAACGAAACATCGGCTCTTTTGTTTTACATCCAGGCACGCTACACCACCTTGCCATCATGAATCGCCCTGTACGATACATCAGTCACGCGACCCACTTCCCCATTGCTTCCGACTGTATTGGATGCCGACCATCGACCACCTGGGCAGGGTTAGGGTACCTTTTTTATTTGCTTGAGTCATTCTTTTTGGTCCAAGAAATATCGTCTGCACAGAAAAAAAATTTATTCTTTTTTTTCGGAAAATCTTATTAAAAGATGGGCCCATTTTAAAGAAACTTCATGTTGAGAGGCGTCAAACATTGTTTCTTTTTGATTAAGGTTATGCAAAAAACCAAACCAGAATATATTACCGAGCAGATGTTAATATACTACCTCGACTATTACCGCGGGTAAAGAATGGATGATCGCACCCAAATGGCGGCAGTATCTGTTTTTTCGACGAAGCGGCTCTTCTATTGGTAACTCTGTATTCTTTGATTAGAAGTCTCAACACCCTTATGACATTTTTACGCTTAATCTGTTCAGTGATTTTTAATATATTCTCCAGGTTATGTGACAGCATTAATAACTTGTATCCTAACTAGTTCCTGTGGATTTGTAAAATGCTAATATAATCTGGTGATTCAACTTGAATGCTCTTAATTGCTAAATGGTTTGTTTGTACTTACCATATAAATGAGTGCTGAACACGCTATCACCTGGCTGATATTATACAGACGGATAATCTTGGTTAGGTCGAACGGTTTCCTGTTTTTCATATACGCGGGAAGAAGCAACAGAACCAGTGCTAGATAAGCTGCTATTATGTACAAAGTAGGCCACGGACTTGACATAAACTTCCATTGGTTTACCCTGGGATCTGCAACAATAATATAATTTTACTTATCTGTCAGAAAGTTGCGCATTTACGTAACTAAGAAAATGGCACTCCAAAAGTTCCTCAATTCAGATTATTTTCGGAGACAGATGACAGAAACCGAATTTTCTCAAAATCATTTCAATTTTCACACTCCATAAGCTAGCATAATTAGAATTTGCCTCTTGTCCTCAATTGTTAACTTTATTTTTTCCTGTTGGATTTTGGAATAGAGTTTTTAATTCTGATTCCAAAAATGTATAATATGTAATACATTGTCATTGCCAAACTTTATGTATTTCTAAAAACAGAATTTCCTAAATAGACTTTGAAATTATCAGATAGTCATTTGTTTCAAAATATCATCAGCTAAGCGTTCCTTTATTTTTTTTTGATCTAGGCATACGTGAACAGTCCTTATTTCAATGACGTGATATTGTACATATTATGACATGGATTGGTATTATAAAATTTCAAATATCTAAAAACGTATTCTTCCTATAGTTGGTCTTGGCTCATCGAACGGAGAACAACCTAATGCTAAAACATTTCTATGTTATTTAAGGATCGTATTGAAATCATTGAATACAGTATTATTTTATGTAACTGATAAAACATATTTCATATCCCTCATATCTAAACCGATGCACACATCTAGCAGTCAAATATGTATATCGGCTGAGGTGTATTGTGCCAAAATAGAGCTTGTCATAGTCAATAAATTTGCAAATTATCTGCATGTACTTTCAACACTCTTCTCAGAAATTGAATGATTTCTGATTTAATATGTGATAAACTCTTCACCATCATCATTTGCAAACCCAACTATGAAAATATTAGTTTTTTCAAAACATCTTAGGTTTGACAGACTCTTTATATGACATATAAAACATTTTTGGAATAAAAAAAATCCATTGGCCTGTGCAAAAATCCAATATGGTGTCTATAAGAAAAAATGGTCATACTGAAGTTTTAATTATGCCATCTTGTAGAGGAGAAAAGGTGGCAATGCTAATGTACTTTTTATTTTGAAATCCCACCTCCAATAAAGCTAGCAAAAAATAACGATTTTGGGAAAATTCGGTTTATGTTGTTTACCTCCGGAAATACTCGGAACGAAAAAACTGAAATGAAACATGTGACTGAATCGCTTTGTATCGGCATTCCCGTTCTCAAAGCACATCCAGCGCCCCAAAGATGTACCATTCACGCCCCCTATTCCATCGTCCCGAAAACACTAAACGCCCTCCAAGAACGTGAAAAACTTCCCCAGGTATGCTAAAAAAATTAATTGGAAAACAAAAATAAAAATATAGTTTCATTAATTGTCATTGTACTTGGAAAAGGCCACCGTGCAGCAGAAATTCAAAAACCACAGGATAAGTTTCAGTTTTTGGGAATGTTGTCATACGTATACGTTAAGATTTGCCCTTTGTGGCATTCTAGTCAATTATTTTTATGAGTAAAATGTCAAATGAAGCTAATATTAACGTTTACATATATGGTACTTCCAATTTCCAAAATTCTGTTTTATATATGAATAAGAGCGGAGAGATCATTTTTCGCATTCCATACCTTCATACTATGCACGAAAAATTCACTCAGTATTTGTCAAAGGAAATGCAACGAAATACCGGACGGGTATTACGTATCTTAAAAAGTCGTTTTTTTACATTTCGTAGATTTCTTTTGAAAGCGTTTATTTGGCACTCAATCAAATTGGCTTTTGTAGGCATACTGCTTTGACATTGGAACGAAATAGGTCAAATTTTCTGAAAAAAGCTGTTAAAATAACTTCTTAAAATTCTGAAATTGGTCACTTAAGCCACTCTAGTCAACGATGGATCATGAGTTATTCTAAAACATTTTTTTCGCGCGGTCAAGAGCTCATAAGGGTTGTAAGTACTAATTCATTTTATACTTCAAACAAAAATCCTTGTGTCATATCATCTGTAAAAAATCCCGTCCGTAAGAATTAAGACTAACTTACTATTGTTGAATACCAAACTTTTTATACTCTCCTTGCTTACTTTTTCTTTATAACTGAATATTTGTTTAACTTCAACCTCTATTAAAATACTGTAACTTTCTACTTGTCTTTTTAAAACTAGTGTGGAAGTTTAGTATTTTAAGCTCTTATTGCGGCAAAGTATAAATTAATGTTTTACCCGCGCACAAGGTTTTTCCGTCTGCGGCATTATTTTATTTATTTGCAGATGTTTTAGTCCAACTTCAAGAAATGTAATTTTTGACATGTATATATTCTGGCAAATATATTATCTATCTAAAATATTCAAATATACTAACCAGAAGCATTACCAAGTATGTTGTGGTACTTGCGAACTACTTCCATATTCAACGTCATCACAAGTTACTCAGGAACTGTTTACTGAATAAACGAATTATTTCTATGAGTTTTCCATGAAATATTTCTCAGACCGTCTGAGGTATTTAAGATTGGAATGTCAATTAAACAAATGAGGACGTTCAGCACATAATAAGCGGAGTTCTAACATGCTTTTCATCAACGGAACGCGCAATTACAGGAATAAATTTTAAGGTACTACCGTTTATCCACCGCAAAGCCGCAAATAATTGCTAGGTAATCTTTCGCGTTAACCATATTTCAAATATTAATGAATACTTATTTTTTATTGTTGTATTCAGTATACACTTCTATTGATGTGGGGCGTGCAAAATTAAATGAAAATACAGAATACATAGCATATCTTCTCATCCGCTCGGACCAATATTCTAATTCGGTTATACTTCCAAAGCCTACTGGCAGGGAAATAGTGTAATCGCGACAATTTTCGAAAATGAGATATTGTTTTTTAGGATGTTATATGACATGTACATCACGAAAAACCATGACACTTATTTCTGTCAGTCTGTGTGTTTGTCTGTCTGTCTCTCTATAACCCTCTATAACTTGAGAAGTACCGCTCGGATGTCGATGAAATTTTCACACAATGTTGCTAGTGTACCGAAGACGCAAAACCTTTTCATTTAATATTCATATTGCGATGCACAAAATTGCGTCAAAAATTGTTTTAAACAAATTTCAATAACAAATTTCCTTATATCGAAACAGAAGTGAAGTCAGCAGCCGAACTACAGGGGCACTGCGACTGCTGGAAGGAGTTGGAAGACACTTTGTTTATCCACTTTTTGTTAACTACCTAAGATTAGTAGAACTGGGAAAAGCCTCCTCAGGAGGGTTGTTCCACAATTTCGACCCCCTAGGTACAATAGAGCAGTCGTATCGGCCAGTACTGGATGTACGAAGTTCGACACTGTCAGGATGGCAGTCAGTAAAGTCTGTCTGGCAGGCTCATCGCGCGGCGGTATCATGGAGGAAAGCTCGGAGGAGGAAAGCCCGTTGACATATCTGTAAAAAGCGAGCCATATCGCCGACGGCCCGAGACTAAACGATCAGTAGGACAGCCCTCTGAACAGCAGTAGATAGATTTCGACATATAAACGACCATATATTTGAAACCCCTAAAAGCAATTTGAAAAAACAAAAATTTTAATGTAGCCAAATTTCTTAAATATGCTACAAACATCTAATAAAATTCCAAAGTATTTTTAGATCCGATATTTAAATCCCTAGTTAGCTTTCAAGTTTAATAACTTGTAAGTTTTTTATTAGCCCGAAATTACGTAATTTAAAAAGTGACGTAATATCGATTTGAATGACATTACGTAGGTTTTTTCAAAAAAGTGTCACCTTGGAACTTGCTCTCATTCACTTGTAATAGCCGACCGTGTTGCCTGACGTCATGACAGTTGAGCTATATCATTTGGCTCTGATGTGTTGCAACATCCGCTTGAGAGATGACACCAGCGAAGGCCATTTATAGCTTCTATGGCATAAGTTGTCAATCCTGTACTATATGTCGTTATTGCAGTCCTTCATAGGCCGCGTTCACAGCGAGTGTGCATGGCGTGGACTGGCAGCTATACTTGGGAACCGAAAAGGAAGAGAGCAGCAAAAAACATCGCACGCCCATGCTAACGCGAAATCTTTTTGGATATAGCGGGATTACGAGTAGATGCCACGTTAACACATGGGCGCGCGATATGCCTCGCTGATCTCTTCCTTTGCGGTTCCCGAGTATAGCTAGTACACAAATTTGTGTACCGATTTTCAATGACATTACATCATTGTGAACCGTTGATTTTTAGTTTTTAATCAAGGACGCGCAATGTATATCCTGCGTCAGGGTGGTGGCCGCCCCTATGCTTAAAATTAATTTTCGCTTTTCCAGGTCGAAAATGTTGTGCTTTTCTGAATATTAAATCGCTTAATGTCGAGAACTATCAACTTGACAAAATTTCATAAGACAATTTTTTTATCAGAATGGTTCAAGAAACCTAAAAAGATAGTTCTGAGCAAAAAAACATGGAATTTGTCAAAAACTTGTTAAAAGAAGTATTGACGGCATTTTAAGCTAGCAACATGCAATTTCTTCAAAGGTGATCAGTTTCGAATAATATTACCGGTGTGAAATTGGCAGACAAAATGAAGCAGACAATTTGACGAAGATACAGATAAGATGACCAGTAGCGTCGACATCTCAAAACAGTCAGCGATTGAGAAAGGTACTGATAAGAGCATGCATTTATACATATTAGCCAAGAAGCGATATCCAAAGCACGGGAACACGCACCCTTATAGGGAGAATCATTTTCTACCCCAGTTAAATAATTTTTAGTTTCACAATTTTATCTTGTTGGTGCGACTGAACGAAGTTCACCTCACTGTACGCCTTAGAAATACTACGGTTGCTTTTTGAACCACCCTGTATACATAATTCTTATAGTATGACTATCATATTCGTCATACCGGTAGTAGAAAGAGTTAACATGATAATCTTCACTGACCTGAGTGATTTCCCATGAGTTCCAAATAAAAGCTACCTACTGCTGCCATTTTCAACTAGAATCTTTCGTCAAGGTGGTTAAAAACGCATGAAAATTGTATCTAGTCCAGGCCGAGCCGCAGTCAAGGTGAGCACTTTTCAGGTTGAAATCTGGATACAATCGCTTCGAAATTCCACAATGAGGTCATAAAACGGAACTTCGGTACCAAGATAGGAAAAAGGCACGTCGGAGGTTTTAAATGAACCGTTTTGATAAGAATACGTGTGCTTTTGTGAATTCGTGTCTTAATAACCGACTTAAGAGGGAATTTGACATGAATTTGATAAGTGCAAACGTCAGATTGGTTAACTGCTTTAAACAATATACTGGAGATTTTATTCAAAAGCTTGGTTCATCAGTAGTAGTTTTCAAAGATGAGCGGCGAAACGTTCTTTCAACATTATTGATGGGTTCATATAAAGTTTAAAAAATGTAACAAGGGTTAAAACTATTTATCTGTATGTAAGATACAGTATCAAGTTCTTTCGAATAAGTACAGTGTATCATGAAATTATACTCATACTGTTAATAATACAACTAACTTACAAGCTACAAAAAAGTTTTATTAATACTGAACATGTGAGATGTACAACTTCTCAGTCCCAAAAACCCCAAACCTCACTCTTTTTGTCCCCCAAATATTTTCCCAAAATGATCAGGAACCTCTAAAACACATGGTGATTAAAGAATCAAAAAACCTGATCAAAAGTTATTATTAATTTCACTTAGATGGCTTTGCATGCTAAGTTATAGTGAGGTGAACGTCTTTGTCTCGTCAAAAGGAAAAGGGTATATGTATTCGAATAGTGCCACGTTTTAAAACAACCAGCTGTACTGAGATGTAGCAAAATAGATTGATTAGAAGGTATCTATAATTAGGATATAGCATTGTATGCCTTGCCATCGAATACATGACTCGATACGACAACAATATGTAATCGATAAGTTTTAACTAGAAAAAACGTCCAGTAGATGTTTAACAGACTCATTTAGGAAATATGTCAATTTTGGTTGTAGCAACTTTGACAATTATGCAGTGTTATACAATAACTGACACCACATTGGAAACATACAGGGTGTAAACGTTATGGTAGTCATTATTGAAATGGGTAATAGGGGGGTCAAAACAAGTCAACAAGTTCGTAAGACCCATGGTCCAAAAGTGAATAGATTTTTGTCAGATTTTATTTTACTTTAAAGTCGATTTTCTCTAAAAAAAATTCCGTTTTGACCCCCATGTTATATGAAACTTTTTGCGTCTTTTAACCCCCTCTATCAACCATTCAAATAATGACTATCATAATGTTTACACCATGTATACAGAGTGTTCCGTTTAAAATAAGCAAGTTGGTATCTACTTCCGCTACAACCGAGAGTGCCATCATTTTAAAAATATTTCAGCCAAATTCCTCACATAACATATAGCATAACCTCAAGTTTTCATAATTATCTATGTTGACGTTAGTCAACTTTTCAAGTAAGCTATCGCTGCAGTTCCACATGAGGCACCGTGTATAGTTTCTGAGAAACGACCATTTTGCTGTTATCTGGAACTATTTTTGCAAAAACGTTACCCTGATCCATAGTTGTAAGTAATGATACTGGCACTAACCTGACCGATTCACCATAAGATCCATATAAATGCTGCCTATGGATGCCATCCTCGCCAAGGATGTATCACAGCCGACACAAATCAAGTTGCAAGATGCATCAAAACTGGAAGTATCGCATAGGTTCCGTCCGTTTTTATATTCTATCTAGATCAAGTCGATGAGTCAAGGTAAACACTTTCCAGGTTAAAATCTGAGTACAATCACAACAGAATTTCACAAGGGGGTCATAGCTCGTAGCAAGGAAGCCGTACGCAAAGATAGAAAAAAAGCACGTTCAAGCTTTTATATGAATTATTTGATAGCAAAGGCGTGTATTAACAGTTGTTTTAAATGTTTCTTGTATTTCGGAATTTGATAAGCCAAGTTTCATTACATGTTTTGTGCTGTTTCATTGTCCTGTTCACGAAACTTTAGTGACGTCAAGAGTATTTTTTAATTGCTGTTTTGTACAAGGGTTATCTGTTATTTTCTGACATTGACAAGTAGCATAATTCCAAATTTTGAAACAGCCCGCTAATTTCTGCGATCAAACGCGAAAGTTCTTTTTAAGGCCTAGCGCTAGATAGATACAATGCAATCTTAGACAGAACCGACACCTAGAAGATTAAGATGAATCACAAACAAAACGAAAAACAGGCCATTGTATGACAGCAAGTAATGTAGGGGGCAAAATAAAATATTTGGATTGGCAGTTTACCTTAGATTCACATGCAAACATTAATATTATAATAATCCGTCAAATAATAGTTATTTTTTCTCAAAATGAAAATATGACAAACATTTAACAGAAGGCTTTGGAAATCTTGGCGGCGGAGTAAGAGAAAGATCTAGTAAACGCAGAAGTCTTGTGTCTAGAAATATTTAAGATCTGCCTATAAATCTTAGGCTGACACCATGCAGTTCATATTTGACGGATAGCTTATTGCAAAAATATTCTGGTGTTTTATTATAAAGATTCGAATGCTTGCTAAATGAGCAGTCTGAATGGATATCTTGAAACAAATTACACTCAAGAATTCTGCTAATCTCTGAATTCTGTATTATTCGCTTTTCGTTAAAGACATATGGTCAGCATACGAGGGATGTCTTTTAAGTTTTGCATATAGAAACATAGGCCGCGCGGATCGAACTTCAGTACTGAATCCTAACCTCACTCTTTCGTAAACTTGAATTCAAAGTTTCACAACAATACTGTGTTCTCACTACAGTGAATTTTTAAGTGTCACCAAGTCATTAGAAAAATGAAACTCAACCAAGAACATTTTCGCGCCATAATTTATTACAACTTTCAGAGACAATTATCGCAACAAGAATGCCAGCAAACGAGTGGAATAAGTGCTTCGGAAATTGGTTCGAGCGCATGCAGATGTGTATTAATCTTCGTGGAGAATACATCGAAAAACAATAAAGTCATTTAAAACTACCTACCGTGTTGTTTTATTTTCATATGCAAAACTTAAAACACATCCCTCGTACACGATTTTGGTTAATATCAAAGAGTTTGCTCACATGGCTTTAGTGGAGGGCGATAATATATTTCTAAAAGTGTAAATACTGTTAATAGCTATAGCTTTGTTACATGATCGTAAAAAATAAGTAATTAATCGATACTCGAATGCTAGCACTATCAAATTGACTAGCTTAAGACTTACAATTGCCATCTTTTTTGCATTAATAAATAATCCTTGTTTGTTGAACTTAGTTGCTTGCTGAAAATGATTAGGATCGTCGGACAAATATACGAGGTCTGTAAATTAAGTGATGAGACAGAATCTTTTTAATTTTATTTTCAAATATAATTACAATTTCATATTCTGATCGTCAAAATGGCTTCGTTCTGAAGCCACACAGCGTTGGAGACACTTATTCCATTCATCATAGCAGTTCTAGAACTCCGATACTGGAATAGCCTTCAGCTGGCCATTTGAATGTTTTCGACTGTCCTAAAAACACAAGGACTCAATTCAGGCGAATAAGGAGGCTGAGGAGCCACAGGAATATTTTACTAGTCAAATTTAACTTTCTGAGTGTCAACCGACGATCTGAACGCACAGGATCCCGGATTCTGTCGATGTTTTCGTAGGTTCTTTAGGATGTAGGGCTTCCGCATCGTGGGTCATCTTCACTCGACTCTCTTCTTTCTGAAAATGTCTGAAACCACCGAGAAACCTGGGCTCTTGACAAAGCACTATCTCTGTAGGCCTGTTTAGCAAGAGTTTCCGATGCATTGTGCTCAAGTCTGAAGCAAAACCTGATAGCACACCGTTGCTTGAAATTGATGTTACTCATTTTTAGAACACAATAGAAAAAACTGTTTAACAAGCAAATTGCTACGGACATCCAAATGACTCAGTACCTCCAGTGTTGCTAGATCGAACACTACGTTGCCAGTCTCATCATTTAATTTACAGACCTCGTATCTGTGTATCATCTGTGTAAGTGTGCACAGAACAGTATTTAATGGCAGTGTGGAAATCTGAGATGTTGAACGCCTCTATAAACATCGCGTATTAATGAAACTTCATGCTGCACTTCTACTTTTTGGGGTTCTGCCATTGCAATTATTGTGAAATCATGGAGCTGTTTGTTTTGAGAATCCCAAGAACGAAAGCTTTGCCAAAATAAGTTTATAGTCAAATGCAATCGAATGTTTTTGATATGTCTATCATTACCATTGTGTGGGACTTAGTGAGAAGAATAGTGACCTTTTTACCTCATTCACAAACGCTACTAGCTCTTCGAAACCAAGTACAACTGGAAAGAGTTACCTCAATAAGCCATAACGCACATCCTCAGAAGCATACTAGGTGTTCATTTTCTTTGTCACCGAATATATTTGGAATCTGCATAACGTCACTTATATATTTTTATGAAGTTGAATTTAATTTTAGCTATATTTTTTGAAGTATTTTTTCACTGCGTTGGCATTGATTATTTGATAATTATTGTTTATTTCAATATAGGATGTAAGTTGAAAACATGCTTGAGTACTTTGCGCAAGATGTCTAAAAAAATCGTTATCATTGAATCATAAAAGGAAAACAAAACACGTTTTCAATTTAGTCAAGTTAATAAAAGACAGTTCATCCATAATATATAGGGTGTTCCTTAATGATATGCAAATATTTAAGAGTGTGAATCTACATGAAAAATAAAAGTTAGTTTTAGGAAAACAATGGAAATTAATTAATATTTTTAGAACCGCTTCAGATATTTATTACGTAGTGTGAAAGTTAATAAAGTTGCATATTTTTCAATGCTAAAATGATTTTTAGCTTTAACAGTGGCGTGCGTACGGGTATTGACTTCCATATTTTTTTAAAAAAATGGTACGCCAATGGTTTTTTGCCAAATAAAAAAATAAAAATTATTTTTGAATTCCCCGTTCAATTTAAAACAAATGATCTCTCTTTTATTGTTTTCCTTCGATGCGCTATTTTGAGTAAAAAAAAAATAAAAACCGTTCTATTGTCCGAGAAAATTAATGTAAAAATTGAAGAATGCAATTTAGCAATAAATATCTAGTTGCTGCTCTGGAATATGTCACTGGCTTTTGACATCTGGCAAGTCTCTGTTATTCAAATCTGTTCGCTGTGGCATCTTTTCCATTATTTAGTTTTTACAATCTTGCAAATAATGGTGAATTATTCAAATGCAGAAATGGCGGAAATGCATTACGTATATGGCCTTGCCGACGGTAATCGTGAGCAAGCTAGACGGATTTATCACCAGAGGTATCCCGATCGTGCTTTGCCAGATAGTCGAACCCTTTCTAATATTCATCGTCGTCTTGTTGAAACTGGTTCTGTCCGAAAAGTAACATCTGAAGGTAGACCTCTAAGTGTGAGAACACCTGAAATTGAGGAAGCAGTGCTGCTCGAAATCGAAGAACATCCTGAAACGAGTACGAGGAAGATCGCTAGACACTTAAATATTTGCCATCAAATTGTTGGAGAATTTTAGTGGATTTTTTGTTATATCCTTACCATCTTTTAAGAGTACAGGCATTGTTACTTCCCATTGATTTTCCAAGGCGTGTGACCTTTTGTCAATGGTAATTACACAAAATCCGCAATTTGAATCAATGATTCTGTTCACGGACGAAGCTAATTTTTCTCGAAATGCCATTCAGAATTTCCACAATAATTATTTGTGGGCAGAAGAAAATCCCTATGCCGTAACCGAAACCCATTTCCAACACGAATTTTCTGTTAACGTATGGGCAGGAATTATTGACAACCACTTTATTGGCCCATTCTTCTTGCCGACTTGACGGACAGACTTACCTATATTTTCTTCAACAACAGTTGCCTTTGCTGCTTGATGATGTTCCGTTAGTAATAAGAAACAATATATTGTACATGCATGATGGTGCACGAGCGCATTTCAGTGTAGCGGTTCGTAATTATTTACAAACTGTTTATCCAAATCGTTGAATTGACCGCGGTGGGCCCCAAGAACGGCCACCAAGGTCCCCAGACCTCAACAGGTTAGATTTCTTTTTGTGGGGCTATCTTAAGACACTAGTGTACACAAGTCCCATTAACACTGTAGAGGAATTAAGAGGAAGAATAGTTGCAGCTTGTGAAACACTCCAGGGATATTTCAACGAGTGCGCAATTCCATGAGAAGGAGGGCGGAAGCATGCATACTAAGTGAAAGGGGCCATTTTCAACAATTTTTGTAATCATTTCGTTGGTTTTAATGTTATGTTTATGTTGTCAGTTGTTGTTCATTACCCCTAATGTGTTTAATTTTTCCAATTAAATTAATAATAATTTTGCAATAGAACGGTTTTTATTTTTTGACTCAAAAATGGCGCATCGAAGAAAAACAATTGTAGCGAGATCATCTGTTTTAAATTGAACGGGGAATTAAAAAATAATTTTTTTTTGTAAAAAACCATTGGAGTACCATTTTTTTCTTGAAAAATATCGAAGTCAATACCCGTACGCACGCCACTGTTAAAGCTAAAAATTATTTTAGCATTAAAAAATATGCAACTTTATTAACTTTCAATACGTACTAAATATCAGTGAAATATCTGAACCGGTTCTGAAAATATTAATTAATTTCAACACGCAGAGTTTTTGTAAGGAAACATATTTGAACCATAGTTTATAAACCAAACTAACATTAATTTTTCATGTAGATTCACACCCGTAAATATTCGCATATCATTAAGGAACACCCTATATATTATGGTATGTTGGGAAACTAGAGAAAAATGTAGGTGTATTATGAAAGTATTAGTACATCAATATCTGCATTAGTCCTTTTAGGTATACACGACGTGATCGAAACTTCTTCACAAAAAAGGGTTCAAATTGTCATAGA